GATTTTCAACCTAACGTGAAGTTTAGAACGACGGAGGCTGGTTTTCTTCATAAAAATCGTCGACAGAATTTACTCACGTGAAGATCATGAGAAGAGGAACGACGATGAAAACTACAACTGCATCTTTCGACGATAGCTTCAGAGAACGTAAACCGGCGTACGCAAATGAGCCGAGCAGTCCTGATCCCCCTGTACCCGACGACCAGCTCCCAACCACTGCCCTAAGAACAAAGGATGGATAGCTGTTTTAATGAAACGCTCCATTACTGCCAAGGTTTACATCTTCAGCCCAATGCTTACAAAAGCTGGCCACGAACGCCAAAATACCAGGAATTTCCGTGCTTTTCTTCTTTTTTCAAAATGTTCTAGTCAGGTCCAAGAGTGCATTTCTAGCAGATTTGGATGAAGAGATAACGTGAACTATGAAAAAATTATTTTTCTGCATTCTAATGCTCCGTTCTGGATTCATAATTATAAATGGCAGGAACTTTTGAGGGTTCTCCAGCATCAATCAATCATCATTCATCGAAACTTTTCGTGCCATCGATTCTCTTAATTGGAACCTGTTCTTGGGTTTAATAATCAAAGATGAGTAAGCACATTTTTACAACCGGGAAACGTGAAAACTGTCAACTATTCGAATGAAATTCAGATTGATCCACAAACGTGTTTCCGCTCCGATCATTTTGAAACCCTACTTGTATCCAAATAATGTTGCCTTAAAAATATTTTTGTCCCTTCGAACGTCTTATGAAATATCATGAACATGGGATAAGCAATTAGAATTAAAGAAATGTGAAAAATTTTATCTGAAAGGAATTGCAGCAAAGGAATTCACGGGTCCGGCCAAGAACTCAAGAAAATTAGTTTACGATACTTCAGATATTTTTGCGATATTCCATAAAATATTTCAGCATTATCATGTTTTGAAATAAAAATTCCGATTACTCATCAAACGACGCCGTGTATCCCAAATAGGAAACTTCTCCCAAAGCTCCTCCAACAGAGTGCAATACGAGTCCGGAGAATACCTCAGTTCGATTCGTAGCAGAAAAGATCAGCACAATCCCGACGGCATTCAAGACCACGACAGCAATTATTTTCCATCTTCAAGGAAATTCCATGTTAACAAACAAGTACGTAACAATAAACCAGGCGGGTCTTACCGGATCGAAATCGGGAGCAAGGGACAAAACAACTTTGTCAATAAGCCGGGAATAACGGAAATAAGCAACACAATCCCGGTAGTTGACGGATTACATTCCCTGACGGAATTTTCAGTCAAATCCACAGATTGCACAGCCTCAGTGGATGAAAGTCCGTCAAAAAGTGCCGTCTACAAAATTAAACAAATTTTCTTTCCAGAAAAATTCGTTGCTTCTTGAAATCAACTTTTTATTTTATTTAAAACGTGCGCAACATAGTTCTCGTACTTGACATCGGAATTTACAGTCAAAAATGGAACACATCGCCCCAGAGAATCCACAACGAGGGCACAGCTTCTGTTAAACATTAAAGGGATTATTCTTAAAAATCTTATTCGAACATTTCGTAGTTTCAGAAGGTTGTGGAATCACAATTATCAAAGCACGATTCTCATGACGAGATACTGTTCCAAGAGGTAAAAAAGAAATAGGATCTCAACAAAATTATTTTGAGTTATTTCTCTGACATTTGTGCAACTCAGAAACATCAATACAGATCCAGCAAAAGGATCTTTATTTTACGTAAAGTATTAGAAATGACATTCTCTAGCCAGTTTCGGAATAATCTATTTAAAATGTAGTACTATAATACTGATTATCGGAAGACGAACCTCATTGATGTTCGTCTGGTTGAAAAACGATGGTCCCAAAATATCCCTGGCAGCCGTCAAAAGCACAACACCCGGCAAATTATTGCACAGACCTAGGATCCAGAATCCTATTACGTTCCTTAAAAAATTTGAACTCGTCGAACCTGGAATCTCCGCCAATTCACTTTCTTCACTGTCACTTCCACTTTCCATTATCCTTAGAAATTCAGGAAACGAAATTGTAACATTACGAATAACAACCCTGATAAATTACACACGATATGACCCTATACTGTATATACAATGCCCGAAACGGAGAACGTCTTCTAGTTTATATCTAAATTTGAAAAATTCACTATTTCAAGGTTGGCCATTTATTCAAGCTGAACACCTCAAAAAAGCTTCATGCATTCTTTGAACATAAAAATTCGACAGGCGCATGGCGATTAAAGCACAATTTTTCTGAGTTGCTCATAACTTATCTACGAACGTTGTTGGGGACTGAGGCAGCTTCTCTCTTCTTTCATAGTAAGCAATTAGCCAAATGAGGGCTTTGTTAACAATTTTTATTCGATTTCGCTGCTCAAAAATGTTAATGCAGACTGCCTAGTTAAAATTAGGTTCAATTATTTTCACCACGGCTAACATTTTGGGCAACTGAGGAGGCTCCAAATAATTTTCGGGATTTTATATTTATATTCCTTGTTTTGCAACATAGCAATTCCTGCTTCAGCGATGAACGAAAGCCCACATCTTCAAAATAAATTCTCATACCCGAGACGAATTTATTCATTGAAACCTGGACCAGCTCTTTTATCTCACAGCAACATTTAGGCAAGTTTTCAGATACCGAGGAATTATTTGCGTATGTAAAAAACGACATGAGTCATCGGATAAAGGTAGTACACGGCAAAAATAGACAATTTCTAAAAGGCAACTCGTCTTTTTATCAGCAGACCACTTCTCAAGGATTTTAATGCTCTTCACGACTAAACAAAACGTGCGAGCTATTTCTTTCGCAATAAAAAATTCTGAAAAATCTTCCAGCCATACGCTCAAGTGATGACAAATTTCCCTCGCACCCAAGTCTACACACAAATTTCCAAAATTATCCAGACTGACGAGATCCGACCATATTGAGGCGTTATATCTTTGAACAAGGTAAGCACAAAGGTCGACCCGTATGACATTCTCAGACACCATCGCAACTGCCTTTTTTGGAATGTCAAAAATTTTGAGCGTTTCCGTAATTTTTGAAAAATCGGCATCACCAATTGTCTCAGCGTAAAAATGAACGTTGAATGCGGGTGTTGGACAATTATGCGAGTCAAGAGGTAAAAATTCCATACGAAACTTCATGCCTTCAATGCACTCGCATGCCGCCTGAAAAGCAACGAAATTTGTATCTTCACTTAATATGAGGGAAATGAAATCCGGGACGGAAAAACAATCTTGAGCACCCTTCTCGGAAATGGTTTCGGAATTCACACATTCCCACCACGGTGGTAATCGGGGTTTTAAAAAACTCATTTTGGGACGCACTAGGACATGTGTAAGTGAATTTCGAGAAAAGAATGATTTGTTGATTCCTCGATAGCCCGTGTTTCGGTATTCCAACCATTGATCAGGAAAAGGGCACACCTGAAAAAAAATGTTCCGATCTTGCATCAAAATGAGAGCTGAGAAAAGCAACAAGAAAAACTGGACATGACAAAAAATCGAGAACACTGTCAAAATGCCTTCCACATTAAACACCCAGATTTGTTGAGAAAAAACGCATGCAAGTCATTCATCAATGCAAATTTGAACGGGTTCTTCAGGAATTTTCTTCACAAAAACTACGGCGAGCGCTTTAAACAGGGGCACCCACGTTAAATATAGTGCAGTAGATACGTTATACTGTACTTGAATTTACAACGTGTAATATATAAAATAAAATATCAATGCCAGCGAACCTGAAAAATACAATTGAAATTCGGTAAGCGTTATTACCAACTTATAGAAAAATGCACGATTGCAAGATTACTAAACATTAAATTACGGTAACTTGAAAATTTCTTTCACCTCCTTGAGAAGGAATTTACACGAGTTTGCCACAGCAGGCAGCTTCCAAGTATCATTCCAGGTGCGTTGAGGTTTATCCCATCTTGTTCCACCTTGTCCTCCACACAACGTAACCAGAACCAGTGAATCGTCATCTCGAAGCACGCCATTAACGGATATGAGGAAGTCCCGCAACAGCTGTCGATTCTTGTCCAAACGCATTTTTCCACCAACGTGAGGAAAGTTGAAGATTACGCAGTCAAAACCTTTAAACTCTGGATAATCGCCTAGCTTCGTAGCATTGACTTCGTGCATCACCTTTCCTGAACAGAAAAGATAAATTTACCTAGTACCATCACGGAAAAAATCAGCTTCCACAAAAATTGCGAGGCCATAAATGAAATTGATGGATTTCTTCTAACTTCGAAACACAAAAGATACTAAAAGCTATTTGATATCGAACTTTTACCTCCATGATCGGTGATTCGAACAATGTTTTCATTACAAGATTCGCCGTGTCCAGAAAATCCACTTGCCGTGAAACTATCAAATTTCACCCCAGCTTCCGAAATCTTTTCTAGAAGTACACTAGCGAAAGAAAAATTTCCTTCGCCTACCAGAAGAAAACGTTTTCCCTCAGCAGAACGAACCAAGTTGGTCCATACGTCTTCAGTGCTCGCCATCGTAAACGATTTCCCCTGTTGACCAGAAAAAGTTAAAGCGTGGCAAAATGAAGACGAAACACAGTTTTTTCTCGCTCTATCCTGATTACATTGAATATACTGTAGTGTACATGCATATGATCGGTAATCCATGCCTAAGCAGGTTTCCCAATGCGACTAATGCATTGTATCTAATAAATTGATTCAGCTGTAGCAATGAAGAGCACGATAAAATCGCTCCCTAAAATTGGCCATGAAACATTACCGATCCACTGAACGATAAATGTGTGTAATGACAGCAGAAATACTGTTTAGAAAATTAATTAAGCCAATTATACCTCATAAAATTATGATTTCTAAGTATTGCCCTCAATGCTCAGCTCTACAACATAAATGATCCTACTCGCAACATTCGCATTATCCGCATTCTTAGTCTTACACTACCTGTTGATCCTTCATACGACAGGTGTATTGCAGCTCAACATAGTTAATCCTTGAAGAGGAAAACTTCAAGAAAATCCGCGGAATTATCTCCAAAAGAAATCACACCGTCTGGAAAGGAAATAAATTCAATATTCGGGATTCATGACGAGTCTGCCACGCATGGCAAGCACGAAGAAATGTACACGTTTTATAGAAAAAAGATTTTAACTCAACAAAACGTGTCCAAATTCCCGTAAGGTAGGAAAAAAGCTTGATCAATTCTCAAAAAGAGGAACCTACACGGAATCAGTAATTTTACCCGTTCATTTCTATGTTTAATTCTGAAATCTGAGGGGGGGGGGGGGGGGGGATTGCACGCAACCTGCTGAACTTGAGTCATTAATGTTCAAGATTATCTCCAACAATCACGAATCACTTCGGCTGTTCTGAATCAAATTTCTATAATCGCTCTTTCTTCCTGGCTCCGGAAAAATATCTCGGATTCATTGTCGCGGACAAACGTTCGTCACGTTTGGTTCTGTCGAAGAAATAACTCGACACGCTGAATCTGACGTGACATGGGCGTTTGCATTCTGCTGACGACTATCCGAAAAACAGGGCCCGTTTCGACCTCGTCGTTCTGAAGCATAGTCATTGAGTAAATAAGCGGGTCTGTAGCGCTCTCGACCAGAAACATCGCAGTATTTCAATGTTGAGTTTGGTCTGGTATTGTCCGAAGTTCCCACGGATGTAAACCCTCGATCATACAGAGTGCAGTATGGTAATGCGAATTCCCGAAGGAAACTCCAAACGTGATGATACTTCCAGTCAAGAAGTGCATTGATACGCATCAGCTGTGGCCAGTCAGGGTCAGTCATCTAAAATAAAATGAAGAATTGAAATCTAAAATGTTTACTGCTTAAAAATCGTAACGGGCAACATCATGCTCAATGTTCAATTCATAGGCACCGTATAGGCCATGTGGTAACGATAATTACAACTAATTTACAAGTTAGGACACTTAGGACAAGTTTTCGTATCCTCTCAGAAGTCTAAGTGTACGCCTCAAACGAAAATGCTCTTCAAGAAATTTCTCAAGATCTAGTCGTCTATTTCGTCCCTACGTGTAATAATAAGGTTGCCTTGGCCATTTAGGACTAAGCTTGAAAACCGTTGCCAAATCTTTAAAAAATTCACTCAAATTACTGTACCGTATAGTTTATTATCCATCAAATCTGCAGCAAACCAAGTTTAAATCGAAGTGGATGTTATACATGTGGACTCCTTACAACGAAATTCAAGGGACCAGAAAAGTTAGTTTTGGAAAACCCCTATAACATGGGAGGAGAACCCTATGAGACCAAAAAAATTGTTTTTATACAGAGAATATTGTTGCACACAAGAAAGATTGTCCTTCAGAAAGTCCGCCTGTACAGTATTTTGCATTGCATGCGCCCCTCATTGATTTAGGATGATGTACTATATCAAGCTAAAATTATACAGGCATTTAGAATCAGAGACATCATTCAAGCTAGATCCTTAGATCCCCTTAATGATTCTGGCAATCTACAAAACGCCTTTTCCTACACTAAAGGTGATTAAGAAGATAACTCTTGGGCAGAAATTAAATCACACGGAATAAAATACTGAACCTGGAAGTGAACAATGTTTTTTGGCCATGGATCGTCCAAGCGAGTTCCCATCCAAATAGCTTTGATTTTTGGATGTGTAGTCAGCAAGCTCAAGAGCCCATTCCTAATAGGTCCATCTTTGATAATCAAGTCCAAGCCGAACCTTCTTTTTGTTTCTAAAATGAACTGTTCCATTTCCGGGAAGGGGTTGAGGCATCTGATGTAAACTACTTGCAAAGGTAAATTCTCAGTATCGGAAGATACTTTCCTTAGCTTCCGGGCAGCTAAAATCAGGTACAACAAAGCGGAACAATCTTTGCCTCCATTGAACGCCAAACAAAGTTCTTCCTGCTTGTAAATATCCAAGCTTTCCTCAACCACCTGATGATTTGATGACGGATGAAAAATAAGTAAAACTTTATATCTTCAAAAAAATCCGAAGTTCTCAATCCGAGAATCGACTTTACGGTGACAGCACAACTTATCACATGCCTTCATAGCTTTTTCAATCGGAACTTTGAAGGAGCATTCACAGGCCGGCAAATTTCCTTCTGACGTGTTGATAACACTGGCCATCTTTGACGCAGTTTCTTCGATCAATTCATCATCACCGACATCCGAGACGAGTCCATCCGGGAGTTCTTGTCGGAAAAATTCTTTTGCGCAGTCAATTTTTTCATGATCAAACGACTCAATTGAGAGTCTCGTGCACGGGATTGGGTCTGGTCCGTTGATCTGGAGCATCACAACAGGAAAAAATTCAGTTCCAATTTCGCAGAAAAACGGAAATTGCACTACAGTTTTGCGAAATTAATGGGACAGGTTTAAAATTCAACCTCAGCATACTACAATCGTTCCTACGACATGAAGTCATAATTTAGGGATACATGCGTGAATGTGTGTAGAGAAACTAAGCCGAGCAAAACTGAGTCCGGAAAACCGCATAAACTATCAAATTTTATTCATACCCTTAATGTGAAAGATAAGGTCTGTTTTCTTCATATCCCACAATAAAAATTTTGACGACCCTTTAGGTCCAAATCTAACTCACGAATGCACTTGTTTTCCTCTTAAATGGATAGAATACTATTGCCAATGACTTGAATCTCGGTTGATTAATAGGCTCCACCCACCAAAGTCAACGACATCTACCTACATTAAAACAATTAGGCACCTCGACGGACGAAATGGGCAAATTATTTCTCCGGAACTGTTGACTCATTTAGAAAATCTTTCCTGAACTCGTAACGATAACTTCTTCCCCGCTCACACTAGACTTTTTTCCATAACTTTGACAGCATGAACGCATTAGTTCACGAATAAAAAATCTCAAGTTTTTGTCATCCTTGGACCATATAATGCCCAGCGCATAAATCGCGGGTTTTGAAAAAAAAAAAAAACTAGCCTGAGGATAAGAGCCGAACGTGACGCTTCCTCGGAAACGTTCGAGAGCTTTGTTTAAGACGGGGATCAAAGCAACCTCAGTCATCTTGACGAGAATGTCTTGCGAAAAAAATTGCCGGTCCGGGTTGCAAAACAAATATTCCAAGTTGAGGAATCCACGCCGCAAGTACTCAGGCACGCCAGGGAAGATGAACACATTATGACACGATATCACAGGGAAAGGAGAATCCAGTTGTCCACAGCTTTTGTGCAAAAAATGCAACTGCGCAGATTCCGGCACATCAGCCATCTTCATTGCAGGATTCGCCGAAGCGGCGGATGCTTCAGGCATCGGGAAAAAACCCGTCATTATGCTCGTCAACTCGGCATTTTCAATCATTCGTTCGTTGAATGCACGTGCGACAGCCTCGTAAGTCACGTCATCATGTGTAGGTCCAATTCCTCCAGAGGTTAACACAAAAGTGTGGTTTCGGGACAGACCTTTCAACTCGTCCGCGATTTTCTCCACGTCATCCGCAACGACGGAAACGCGCGCAAGCTTCACGCCAATACGGTACAACCGCTTGCACAAAAACGGAGCATTCGCGTCCGCGACTTTTCCTTTGAGTATTTCGTCGCCGATGATCAGAACCGCAGCAGTTACTTCCTCGGGATCCATCCTTCCGAAATCCCACCTAATTTTTCATGACTCACATCTGAAGGAATGTAAAGGAGGCGCAGGAATCCAAATAGAAAAATGGAAAATTCGGTGGGAAACATGGATTCCCGTGGACTCATCCGTTTCAACAATCCAACGAATTTTCACTTCCAATAGTTATGAATACTTCAAGATCAAGTCTTCATTCACCCTTCGATGAAAAGAAGCAGATTTGAGAAAGTTACTGTGCACTGGAGAAGAGATCAACTTTCTCGTGTTTCAAATTTTTGATGGAACAAAGGCAGAGGTGTAGTAAAATCAATGGTGAAAGCATCAAGAACATTCAAAATAATTGTTTGACAGAAATTATTTTTCGAAAAATTGTGCCATTACAAAACTGTATTCCACGAACATTTCACCAAAAACATATCAACCCTTTTAAAATACTTAAGCAATTTTTCTGGACAGGAAAAACAAAACTGTTGTAGAAGAAACTTTCGAAAATTGTAATCGAAATGCCATTGTGACTAAAACGTATAACCGACATAAACGCAGACTATAGAAATTCCTCATTTTCAAGGGAAAAAAGGAAAATACACTATTTAAAAATAGTAAAAAAGTAACAATGCACAATAACTTTACGAACACCTTGGAAATGATCTCGTTAAAACAGAGGAGAGCACGGAAATCGAAACCACGAAGGTCAAATAAAAATTTCCATAAATTCGAATCGCAAGGTGGAAGTACTGAGTATTCACAGATTTGTTTCGTTGAGCGCAATGACCCATAGAAGAGCAATCGAATCAACAATCAATCTTGTAATGGAATCCGCATGAGCAATGCCGATAATGGCGCGAGATGGCAGTTTGAGATGACGTCAGCGACCTTCACTATCGGAGAATTCCAAAAAATCTGAATCGGATTCGGACAAGTTTCCTTCTTCCAGTCTGTACGGCAAAGCTCGAAGCCGAACCTCCAAGCCCAGCTCTGGCTCTCGAATGCAATCCAAAGAACGTTCTGGAACAACACATGAATTCTCAGTCAACTCTAGCTAAATGAAAGGGCCAAAATTATCAAACGTGGTGAGAAAAAGGAATATTTTCACAGATAATGTCCCAGATCTGGCAAAAAAAATGATTTTCGGTCGGCGCTGAACGTGAATGTTGCCCTGAAAATGTGAGAAGTCAATTGTAGAACAAGACGTTGCCCAACTAATTCAACAACATCCCAAGCAAATGAACGCAGGCATGCTCCAACTGTTATTCATTTCGAATAACCCAGTAGTTACTTACCAGTAAGTTAATCTCAGACGCCAATTATTGTACATTATTTAAACTTTTAGAGTATTACATTCTCTTCGTTTTACAATCGCTGATCAAAAATATGTTCAGAGCTAATTTCTGGGTCAAAAACGTGATTTATCCAAGAAATCATATTCGAAAAATGCTTTATGACGCTATAAATAATCCTCTTATTTTGAAGACAGTGAAGAGCCTTCTCAGCCATCCTTATGTTCATTGCTGTATTTCAATGAAAATCTGATCTTCTTTACAGGCTGACTTTTTAGTACTGATGAGAGTTTCATAAGATAGCTTTGACATGGGTGGAAAATGTAAATAAAGCTCAACATCTTTTCAAAACTTGCCTTGTATCACGGGCAGATTATCGAGGCGTCGCGGTAGCGCATGAAGATTCGCCGGGAACGCACTCAAGCGTCGGTTCACTTCGCGCACACGATTCTGGGCTGGTAGCCAATTCTCAGCCATCATGTTAGAGGCATTTGATCTTTCTCTCGGAGTAAGTGGCTTCATGTGCACAATGTTCCATGCCCCCGTCCAAGGGTTCCAGTCAAAAGTCAAGCCGGTTTGGAAAACTTGGCTTCCTAAAGCACTCCTGCAAAAAATATCAATGATTATACAGTTAAGCTCTCGAAAAATAGAAAAGAAGACGATTCAGAAACCATCCACATTTACGTATAGATAGAAACATACTTCAATGTGTTTAGAGCTAATTACCTCGTCATCTTGTTCTTTGTTTTCACAAGCATTTCAGCACAGCACAAGAGCATGTCGCCGCTTTCCTAGATGAAAACAAAAAAGATATATGTTTCTCGAAGATTCAAGACAAGATCGGGGTTCTTCACACTAACTGCAAGCACTGCAACGTCGAAGTCTTCACAAGACCACAGCTTCTCGCCAGCAGCCATGCACACTTTCTCGGCCATCCTGTGACAAAACTCTTCCATGTCCATACTGACTTGTTTAACTGAGATTATTGGGGTAAGCTGGAAAGCAAATAGTTGTCATATTTGAATTATGTCGAAAAAACAGCTCTCCTATCATTTTCTCTCACCACTCTTCCAACTTTGACTCTAGAAACGGGCTGCATTTGGACGTAGGCCGCTCCATGCACCTCTAGCGGCAAAGCGTTATGATAACCGGTACTAGAGCATAATTCATCGTCTAGAAAAATATTATGCATCAAAGTCCGATACCGCGGACAATCCATAAACCAAGCTCACCTTCGAGATCTGTACTCATCACAGAGGCCAACTCATCGTCAGCATCCATATAATACCTGTGGATGTAAAACCAGTTTAAAAACTATAAGAAGTACAATATTTCGACAGCTCTACATGAGAAACGTCTGATTTCCATACAGTTACACAGAGATGTAGCATTGTTTCAATAAAGAATGTATGCCTTTTCTATTTTTTTCTAATAAGTTTGAACGTCGGGACATCACTGCAACATATGTGGGAGATTTTTTTCGACGATCAGAGCCACCCGGAACAGGCAGAAAAAACTCGAAACAATCATTCAACGACAGGGATGACAAGGTGGTATACTCTTTTTCTCGCGCAAATGGCGCTCGCAAAATTAGATGAAAAAAATTTTGAACTGGAGATGATAGAATGATAAATTATTTTCCACACGATTTGAATAATTCGATAGTTCCAAGTTCCCTCGTTTCTTGCTACGCGAAAACGTGACAAACCTCCAATAAAAGTCATGCTGCATTCTCACTCACCGATCAAAGTTCACAACCCATGGATTCTCTGATTTTTCTGCCTGTGAAATAAATTAAACAAACATGAGATGAAGCGTGAGACACAGCACCGCGCCCGTTACTGAATTTAATTTCTTTCCAGCTCTCATAATTACAGGAAATTTAATTTTTTGAAATCGCTTAAAATCATAAGTTGTATGGGAATCGTCGTCATACCCAGATTCCACCAATCCCTGCCGCAAAAGGGATAATTCACGCTCTGATGAACCCATGAACGTGTGTGTGCTTCACGGGTTCACCATTACGCAATCATTACATTTTTATAAGGAAATGTGGGACAGTGCGTAAGAAAGGAGGGATAATCCAATCATACTACCAATTGTTTATGTGCATGGGATGATGGGAGATGACAGAGGATTTCGATATTTTCAGGGAAAACCAAAAAATATTCATTTATCTATGATCCAACGGGAAATCGGAACACAAGACTTTTCTCCGGATGCCACAATTCCCCCTCCTCATTTTGACGAGACAATAACAAAGATAGGAACAATAGGATTTGTTTACATTCTGGTGCCATGATATTTATGTACAGTATTTCGCACTGTACTACTTTCCTTTTATAATAAGTCGGATTTTGAAACATAAAAGTAGTTTAACCCTGAAATATTCACGTTTCGTGGATCTTGTAAATGTAAATCAACCAATAAACTTGAAAAATGTTGTGCCAGTCCAAACAGAATTTTCACAACGAAGTCAATTACTTCCAGTAAGTTAATCTCAGACGCTAATAACTGTATTTACAGTATTACATTATTCGTTCCATTCTACAACCGCGGAGAACCTATTCTGAGAACTGACAGCTGGTAAATCGAACAAACCTCTTTAATCCGTTTCCTGCCATCGGCACCAACAAAAGATGACGCCTTTCTTCTTTTTTCTTTAGCAATGCTTCTGGAAAAAGCCGGAACGCGTAATTCCAGCGAGGAATTAGAGGAAGGACTCAATCCTCCTCTACCAAATAACGCATCAGTGGCATCTCGATGATCGCGGAGTTCGCGTGGCGATAAAAGCAGGTTACTGTTGGGACAGTGATTCAATTGACGCAACACAGCCAACGGGTGATCACACGGGGAATTCGGGCTAATAGACACAGTCAGAGATTCAATCCCATGCCCAGGACTGCGAATCTGGAGAACTGCTCCGCTACTGCCGCTAGTAGAATTGTCGTGGATCCTCGCGTTAGAAAATCGATGAGGATCGCGCAACCGACGAGACCATGGAGGAATGCTCAACGACGCTTCTGTGTTCTCGTCCGGAAACAATTCGTCCGAGAATTCGTACGTCTTTTCTGCCAAGCGTTTTCTACGAAATGAGCTTAGGTTTTCATTCGCAGGCGGGCTTTCATCTACAAAAGCGTAGGCATCTTCGGTGCCACTGCCGAGACCCCGATTCCCTAGCCCGCGGGCAAAAAACTTCGCTGTCCGTTGCTGACTATTCACAGCGTGCGGTATATTCTTAAATCCATCCGCAAATTCAAATACGTCTTGACCCGAGAGCCTAGATTTAATTGCCGACGAAGAATTTATCATCAGAATTCGATCCTCCTGCGAAGCATTCGACTCAGCTAGAGATGTGCACTCCGAGGCAGCTTCGCTGATCGAAAAATAAGATGCTTCGTAATCTTGAGAATTACATGACGAATGGCACATAATCATTGAAGGAGGAGAAAATAGGGGATATGATATGCTCCCCAAACGACGAGATTTCAAAACAACAGCAGGTTCAATGAATTCGATCTTGAAGACGTGAATGAAGTTCCCGGTGCTCAACACGAATTTCCCTCGATTTCCGGATTCACTTTCGAGTGGATGCAACAGCCGAAGCGGATTGGATTTCGGAAACGGCGGAACAACACAGCACAACGTATGCAACGTCATACCATGACGTAAACAGCAAGCGTGAGGGAGAATATCCCCAGAATCACACAACCCTACAGTCAGAAACAATGTTTCACTTTCTCGTCGAGAAAATGTTCACGAAACTAGCTAATGATTATTGAACAATTGATTATTTTCAAAATTGTCACGAAATTTTGACGAAGAGGTACGGAAACGAACTCGACGAAAGTTCCCAGAATAACAAAAACATGTAAAAATGCATAAAAATCGTCAAGAGCAAGCAGAAAAATGATTCATTTAGGGAACTTCTCAAAATGTTCACACGACTTCTACAGAAGCGAAATACGGGATTATTTTCGAAAGTTTTCGGAATCGGGATATCGTTTTACTGCAGGAACATATTGAAGTCAACTGGTATTGTGGTTCTGACGACCAATTTCATTACACTGGCTAAAAAAATCGATTATTAAAGAAATAATAAAATCTCACAACTTGAGCGAAAACTTTGTTCAACGAGGAAGCAGCAAAGCTGGTCTTGCTATTTCCTTCTCGAATCAACACCGACTTTCTTTTCAAGTCATAAGCAAGTGCGGGTCTACCAGCATGAACCACGAACGAAAGTGAATCACTCCATCATTCGACGACGACGGAGAGGTTTCCTTTCTTTTCTTTTTTTATTCAGCAAGAAAATTCATTGGCACTGTCCAACTTTGCGACTAGGAAATTTTTCTGAGCATTTTGAGAATAAACCTGCCCACGCAGAAGAGAAAAGTCATCAATGAATTTTTTGGAATCGCCTCCCGGGCACTAGTTCTCCTTCTCACTGGAAAATACCGAGTAAACCCTCGTGGTCATGCTGACGCATACACAAGTGGAAGCCAGAACCACATGAAACCGAGGACAACTAATGAATTCATATGGGCCTGTTGACTACGGGCAAAAGTTCCCCTTTATAATGCGGAAAATGTGAAAAAACATTGCCAATTTTTTCCTATACATCGAATTTTTGGGAAACTCCCCGCAGAATTGACAACGAAAGAGTTCCATTCGGAATACTTACAATAGTCTTCTCCGAGGTTGTTTCTCAACGCGGCACAATCCCGACAGCCGATAGTAGCTGGAACAGCAGTCACAGTAATGTAGCACGTGGCACTTTGCATCATGCTCTCTTCCATTTTGCTGAAAATATCAAGAACTTGAATGTGAAAATAGAACAATAAAAATAACATAAACTTACTCGTAACCGAATACGACAACGAAATTAGACATTCCAGGCCATTCGTTCACGGAAACGTACAACGGATGACATATGGCCGATTCTCCGAACAGCTGAATTTCGGAAACTTTTCGTGCTTTCGCGGGAGGCTTCAAAAGCCACCACTGGAGATGATAAACGTAATTCAGGCCTTGGGCAGATGGCACCGCACTTAATTCGCTGGATTGAGTGTAGGAGATCAGGAAGCGTCCACAGCGGGAGAAGCCAAGAAAAATAACTCCCGCCTCAATCGCCGACGCAGGGAACAATTTTCCCAATTTAAAGCACAGCCTCGACGGAATTTCGCCAGGGAAAGGCACCGAAGATCCATTATTACTTGTTCGTGAGTTTCCATATATCTGAAAATATTACATGACGATAAATAAGCAATCAGATAACGAACTAAAAATTTGCAAAATGAAAGCGTACTCTAAAATTTGTCTTCTATCTTCGAAATCAGCGGAATTCGAGCAACTATAGCTTCTATGGTACTGTAGAATAATCCATTCATAAGGAAAGATTCAAAATTACTGAGAAACTTATGACGAAAAGCTAAATGATGACTCATCAGTTCCAAGCCAAAAGGATATTTCATAGATGGAAAGATTTTACTGCCGAACTTGGATTGATAAAAAGAAGTTTAAACATGGCAAAAATTGAATCATCGGACCATTTCAAGGAAGTTGAATATCGCACGATGATTTTTGGCATTTTCATTTTAGCGATTCGGGGGATTTCATAGTGACATTGAAGAAAGAAAAGCCGGCCAATATGAATTTTCGGATTGTACGTACCTCCCGATTTCCTAGGTAGCATAAAAAGTTAGTATGATGCTTTAATCGCCGCATCCTGTTCAGCAAATCTTAGGCTGAAAGATTGTATATCTCACTTCATACATCTGCAAAAAAAATGAAGCTACATTTCATGGTCACGTGCGAAACGACGAACTTAAAAATATACAAATAATACAGTTGACTTATTCAGTGGTTGCGTATTTTTTTCACATTCTCCATTCTGACGGCATGAACTTGGAGTTTCTATCAATTTATTTCACGTCCAACTCGCATCTGAGCCATTCATATTTCGGAACGAAAGCTAAAAGCCCATCTTTTAAAGTTTCGAAGCGAAAATTCTAAGAACCGAAGTTGACTGAAAAACCAGACGGCTTTCCCCAGAATTGCATATAGATTTCACAACTATCACAATTCTTCACTCCCCTGAAACTTTTCGGAATTGAAGAAGCCGGCCCGACCTTGTGCGTCATCATGAGCCTGAACATTTGACAATCTTGCGGATTTACCTTGCTACACGGATTTATTTAGAATGCAAATTTTTTTTTCGCAAATTATGATTTGGAATGATTACAGCGGTAATCGTCAGTGGATTGGCTTCAATCCGGGGAACTCGAAATCGAAAACAAAAATGTCCCATGGGCAATCATAACTAACGTGCCCGGCTTTCGAACAAATACACTCACAACCTTGCAAAAACGAATAAAAATTAGAGCCATTCACGCTTCCTTTAATGTAGGCAAGTAGGTTCAGCGGAAACAAGCTCCAGGCGTAATGAAACATGGTTCAAGGAACTCATGCAGGCATACACTTCTCTTTTTTCTTAAATTACATTAAACCCAACGCGCCTACCAGTGAGGAGACGCTTGACGATTCTGGACTTGGCCTCGTTTTTTTTTCCCGCTCTATACGAATTTGGAACGTGAAGGACGCATGAAACACCAGATCTTGCAACGCGGAACAAATCAGCAAGCAAATGAACTCGCATCTTCTAGAAAGCTGTGGATTCATGAACTGAATGGTACATAATTACGAGAATAAGGGGTTATCCGCGATCTCCACTTAAACTTTTCAGCGCCCAAGCGCAGCCCCGGGAGCAAGCAACATGTTACTCACCCCAAAGAAGTTTTCTCGTAAAAAATCACAGACCGCCTCCAGGATGTAAAATTTACAAAATCAAAATCTTTCGACAACGAAAAAGGAGGACCGGAAATGAAAACGAGGCAAAATGGTGTTGATGACAAGCGTCAGCGGGCTAAAATCCGGTGAGTTCGTTCCCAACTGCGCCTCTGTGTGGTTCCAGAAATGAAGACGTTAGCAACATCTGTTCTGCGTTTTTGAGCTCAGATCAGCGCCGGACATTTTCGAACCAGAGCCCACGTTGACTCTATCGACTCCTTGGCCGCCAGCACCAGCCCCACTCTGCTCTGAAGCAATCGTCTTCGTGAGAATTGCGTTCGCGATTTCCAAGAACGCTTGCTCGATGTTCACATTGTCTTTAGCTGATGTTTCCAAAAACCTAATACCATGCTCTCTCGCAACCTGTTGAAAAAAAGGGATTTTGTACGCCTTACCAACCATGATAATTAACCAGAAATTTTCAAAAACTATGTTTTTAGATACGGATTACGGCAGAGTTTCGGGTGTCAAAACAGTTCCCAAAATACCTCCAAATACGGTTGCGCCCGGTCATGAAAAAGGAGAATTCCGAGTGAAAAACAATTTTAATAGCACGATAAAAATACAGTATAACGATCGACTGAAAAGCGCTAGAAAATATTTACCTGATTTTTGACCATAAACATTCACAAAAGCTTCGTGAAGCACTCGAAATAACTTCAACAAACTGCGGATGTTCATTTGACGATAAAAAAAAAAAAATTTGGATCTTTGCGATTGATATTTCGTAAAATTGTACGTACCAAGGTCTATTAATTTTTATTTCGACGGGCGCTGTTCTGTGGCGCCTAAAATTTCCCAATGCGCTTAACCTCAAGGTCATGCATAACATTTGAAGCTGTTAGTTTTCAAATAAAGAGCCGTATTTTACCTTTTCGAAATGAAAATGCCCGAGATGCAAACTTCATACTATTATTTCGATTGTTCGCTCTGAAAGAGCATTGAATGCGCGGATGATCTACTACTGTACGTACTGCTTCTCCACGTTCTCTGCTGACCATTCGTTTGTCTTCCATGTCGCACTTGTTCCCAAGAATCATTTTCTCGACATCTTCGCTCGCATGCTAGGGAGAAATAAATGCTAGATGAATTTCGACCAACGCAAAAATAGCTTGAAACACTCACATCATCTATTAAACGTAGCCACTTGGCAATATTGTCAAAAGACTTCGGACTGGTGATGTCGTACACCAGTATAATGCCCATGGCACCTCTGTAGTACGAGGTCGTAATGGTATGAAATCGTTCTTGGCCGGCAGTATCCCTGAAATACATGAATTACCATCAGCAGCCCGATTTAGGAAATAATTCAATTAAATTCCTAACGCACCATATTTGAAGTTTAACTTTCCGACCCTGCAATTCAGTCGTTTTTATTTTGAAATCGATTCCGATTGTGGAAATGAATGATGCATTGAAAGCGTTGTCGGAGAATTGAAACAATATGCACGTTTTTCCCACTCCGGAATCCCCGATCAGAAGCAGTTTGAATAGATGATCGTACGACTTTTTCGACATCGCATCCACGCGAAAGTTTCGAAATACGGCTCGAGATTTTACGTAGAATACTATACGAGGCAAATAACTTATCTGAGAAAGATACAGAATATTAAAAATATCTTCTACCGATTCACGAAGAAAAATCAATTCTCAAGAATTCACTTTGATAATGAAAAAAATCAACAGCGCATCTGGTTTAATTCCAAAAATGATTGCTGGCGAGTAAAAATACGAGGATTAGTTCCGTAGTAAAATATAACGTATAACAGGGTAACTTTGAGCTTCCAAAATTTCAACAACAAAAATGCACAGCTGGTGATTTTCACACGACACCACGATCTCTTGAAACCAAAACTTGCTTCAGGCTACTTCATGCGCGGGACTTGACGTGCTTCTTCACAGTACGTTGTAGACGCTGCACTTTCCATTTTTTCAAAGGACTCGAGTTTTCTTTTCTGAAAGCAGGACCTTGTCACTATAGATGGTGGGAAAAATGTTCAATCATCGCGAACATACTCATCAAAATCAAAATCCTCGATCTCATTCGGCCAACCAACAGGGAATCCTGAATCATCAGATCTTCTCTTTCCAGAGAACGCATTCGCAATAGAAGCGGACAGGAACGACGCTCCCGAGGCAAGAGATGCTAATCCTGTAACTACAACTGCAGCAACCAGCAAGACAAGTCCCAATATCACAGGTTCTTGTCGAGCTTGAGCGACGAATGTAGCGTAGTTAAATTTACCTGCACATAAGTGTCGTTTCAGTAACTCGCAAACATGAACGCAAAAATCCAATGGCCTCACCCGCATCCGAAATTTTATTAGTAACCTCCAAAAATGCCTGATTCAGCGAATTTGCCGCAAGCTCGATCAGAGACATATTCCTACTTTGGCTTTCACACGAAATGCTTCAGTGATACTGGATATACGATAGACACATCCCCTGAATTTGTGTAGTTCAATTCGAGAATTAAAAACGGGCGAAGTCTACAGGTTCAAACACTTCGAACGAGCGCTATTAATTTAAAGGGTTGGGCTCACTGTTTGTTAGAGGTAACGCGAAGAGGTGCAGTCCGAACTCAAGCGAACATTCGCCAAACGTAATTAGTAAGCCTCAAGGAAAACAAAGCCACCTTCAACGCGGAAAAGAATTACGATGCGTAATTCGCTCGCGACTTCACGAATTGAGCATTAATTTTTCGACCGCATCATTAGCAGCATCACACGAGTCGCGGACGACCTCGTAGAATCGACGATGCACCTCACTCCCTGTGCATCCGTACAATAAAATTGTCCGCACAACGCGCCGGACCCAAGCGGGATAGAACAGTTACAGTACAGTACAGTACAGTACAGTACAATATGAAAACTGCCCCTTGCGGACAAGCGTCAGTCACATTATGCACTTTCATGAAGTCTACTTTTCTGGAACCACTTCATAGGTGAATGGACCTTCATCCAAGCTGCAAGCTCAATCATGAAGTCACTTCCTTTCAAGTGAAAAGAGATTGAAATTCTCTCTTCTAAATTCAATACAAAGGAACAATTATAAGGTTCTCAACCACAAGGGTGGCTCATGCAAGTTTAAACGAAGTCTGTAAGATTTTAGGATGAAATCCTGTCATACAATTGGCTAGGAATGTTAATTGTGGATAAATTACGTATAACCCCCCCCCCCCTCCCTCATGCTGGTGGTTGCTGTATTTACGCACCTACATAAAATCCAGTGGAATGATATGCGGCAAGTTCTGCATCAGCATTAAGTTCACAGCACATATTTTACCACGTGAAGGTGGAGGACCACAAATTAGTTCTACCATTTGAATTTTGTTACAGATCAATTGAAGACTCTTTTTTTAAAGCAAATTGTTATTGAATTTGCAGCAATCGAATACTGAGGAAGAATTTAGAATGGAAAGCTCAATTCAGTTAAGTGCAAGAAATGCTAGGCATACTGGCATATGCCTTCATGATAATGCGTATTCTCAGTTTCTATAACAAACAATTTTATGGTAAACTTTTTAAGAAGTGTGCAGAAAATTTTGAAACTTGTTACAAATTATTTAATTTTCCCCGGCAACCTAGACTGAAAAAAATGGATGCCTTTAATAATTAAAAAAAGCAAATTATATAGTCACATTTTTATGAAATGTACTGTATAATGAAACTGTCAGTTTTAGTGCATATAGATGGAGCCCTTCAATCATTAACATTTTATCCACCAAAAAGTAATTCTTTGATCCTCCACAATGACACGCAATTCAAACCTGAGTTTTTCAATCTCTACAGCTATAGAAAGCACAAGGATGCAAATTGGGCACAATTGTTTTTTTTTTTATAGTCATATAAATATCATATATTTTTGTGTCCTCTTGAACCTTGATAAATCAAGACTTCCAAAGTCAAATACAGTACCTCAACACCATATGCAATTTTTTTTTCAGTCCTTCTTTGAATTCACTTGGAAACATTGCACTACTATAAACTCCTTAACTGAAAGGCTTCCCACTCAGATCTGCATAAGTTGAAATTCTGGAGACTTTTTGACTATTATTTTATTGACACTGGAAAGAGAAACCCAATAAAAACGTAACTAGGTGTTTGGAAAGGAAGTGAAAACTAATTGAGTAAATAAACCATTATGCATTCAACATCAGCATTGTGTCTACAAAGGCCAACAATTGAGGAATCCAACAAAAGTTCTTGGAATAGAAATTAAAATGGCATGTAATTGAGCTGAAAAATAATTCTTCAAGGAAAACATATTCCTTCGCAAAAGTCACCCTGGCAGAGTTTATCAACCCTCCACTCAAAAGATGAGGCACCCTTCCTGCAGATTTTGTTGTTGCAGCCCAGCTTTCCCCTCAGAATACTTAAAACCAGTGTGGCATTAATTCCAAGGGTTGCCTCCAGGTCCTCCACGGTAATTCTGCCATTTTCATCAACAGTAGCCACATTCCCATCCCAGCTGAATTGGGATCCCAGAATTGGAAGACCTGGAGGCAACCCTTGGAATTATTGCCACATTGGTTTTAAGAATTCTGAGGGGAAAGCTGGGCTACAACAACAAAATCTGCAAGAAGGGCACCTCATCTTTTGATCGGAGAGCAGAACTCTGTCAGGGTGACTTTTGCAAAAATTAAAAAAATGTTCCAAACAGGGCTGATCTTTTCTTTGTGCCAAAGAATTTGTTTTCCCTAAAGAATAATTTTTTTCAGCTCAATTATATGCCATTTCAATTTATATTCCAATAACTTTTGTTAGATCCCTTGTACAATAATCCTGTAAACCCCCTCCCCCAACAAAGATGTTCATTTCTACTTTCCTGTCTCATGTTTGGTTGCAAATTATTCCATGCAGTTAAATGCTTTGAAGAAGGAATAAAAATTACATAAGTTGCAGATGATGGGTTCTATTCAACTGTGCAAACATGTCATTCCCCCAGCATAATTTTTTCACGATCAGTCAAAAGGTTTTTAAATCCTGTATGATTGAAACTTGCTTAGTGAATTAATCCAAGCCCAAATCATCACTTCATCGGTTTCCAACTATATTTTTCCATCCATCCATGAACACACAAATCATGGGTGAGTAACTCAATTTGTGTTCAGATAAAAGTGTCCAAGCTCATGTAATTGACAAAATCAAGTTTGGCTCAATTTGGGTACAATAATACATAGGATGCAGACAAATACATGTCCTGTGTGCGCATGATGTCACAAGTTAAACACGAATAAGGCGATAAAACAATATGTACGTTAACGACGGCCACGAGAGGGAATACGACTCACGCAGCAAGCAAAGCGCTTGAAAGTAGTTACTAAGTCAGATCTGCGGATAAAATGGCCCGGCCGTCAATTATCAATGGTCAGCCGAAAATGGCAAACGTAAATGATCAAGGCACCAACATTCGAAGTTCACGGGGCGTACGTTATCGCCTCATCAAACTGTGACTGAAAACGCAGCGGAAGATTTGGAAACATGTACAGAAGTCGAAAAGTATGCATAAAGCTTTCGAAAATGACTTCAACGACACGAAAGTGAAGTTCAAGAACTGTTTCGAAAACATGAAAAAATTATGCTGAATTTCAAGAAATCAAGATGAAAAATTATGCTAAAAAAAAAAAATGTAAGCCACAAAAAAATCCGCAAGCGAAGTAACGAGATGTGGTAGATTCAGCTATCACTCACTGATGATCACAAATTAACGTTGTCCCCTAATGACTAACCAACGCTTGAAAAATGATTCCCAAGCAATTAAGAAAAAAATTCATCCCCCGATTCAAAAGAAAGTTTAGGAACAGGATTTGGTACCTTCGATTACAAAAATATATCCACAGAACAAAAACACAATGCTATGATCCGCATCGTTCCGTTTCATCCACTGGAGAAGATGCAGAGGCACTCGTATCATTCTTCATCGCTTTTGCGGTCTTCGCCAAAATTTGTGCTCGGATTTCGTTCAACCATAGGTTTAAAATCTCTTCTCAAAGCCTCCAATTCGTCCAACTGCGCCTAATTTTTTTTTTACGAGGAAATGATTATTATTTCAAAGGTTCGTCTCTCGACGAATTCCTGGCACAGGCTTACCTTGACTGCAATCAGATGTCTTTCACGAAGGTTGCGTATCAACTTCATCGAAAACGGGTTGATTTCATAGAATGCAACCTGTTAAAATAAGAAAGTTGAAATAAGAATCCAACTTCAAATTCATCCTAATTTACTTGTATTTTGATTTAAAATAATAACAGCGTAATGTTATCGACATTGGTCACACACGAAGTCCGAAATTTTGATGAAAATGAAAAATATCGCGGGTGTATTATTAAAGTCAAATGGTTCAAGTTGGGTCAGGGTAAGCTAGTTTAACTTAGCAATGCAGGCGAAAGCCGCGGAGAACGTTAAAAAAGTTGAAAATTTAAACAAGAAGAATTTCAACGAGAAATTTACAATAAAAAATACAGAACATGCGAACCTCAGTGAGTCGTTGTGCGTCTGTTAGAGATTCCCCAATCGTGCGCAAGTAGTTGAAAATCGAAACGTGGTCCTTCAGCGCCAAAATATCCTTTTCACAGATCACGAACGCAGCCACAGCGTACCGAAAAAGAACCTTTGAGCCCTCGAAAAGAAACGTGTCCCATATGCGCAAATATGTCCTTGTCGGGATGTTGTCCACGTAAATACAAAGAAACCAGTTGAAAGTGCAGAGATTTATATCGACATTTTGTTCCGCCAAATGAGCCGAGAGACGCGGTAGTTTGTCCGCCAGTAAGTCCTTCAAAACCCTCTGGAAAATCAATGATTCAAAATAGATACTGAAGCAAGATTTGCGCAAACTCATCAACTTTTGAAGGACTAAAAACGTTAATCTAGCAATTCGGCCAATAACCGAACAAGAGAGAGTTCAAATCAAGGACATCCCAGAATTATCATAAATTATAAATTATCCCTATCAAATCTGAGGGAACATAACCAGATGGAACGTAAAAATGTGGGCGACATCTGTTCTGTTTACTGAAAGTTATGACATGGAAGGGAAGGAGATAACGAGTTCCCTCGCTATTCTTCACAAGTTGATTCATTAGCCATATCAGAAAGCAGTGGTGGATACGTCGCATGAAATATCAAAAAAAGACGTTCACGTTCATTGAAGGTTTAAATTGTTTCAACAGATAAAGCACAAGAAATCACCTGATCCACCTGAGCACCGAGAAGAGTTCGAGTATAGTATTCTGGAGGCATGAGTCGATCGATGATGAGGCACATGGCCCAAAACGCATCTTCTTCACTCAAAAACAGCAAGGCAACAGCAGCGATTCGGTTCAAACCCTGGCAATAGCCAACATCGGGCCGGTGAAGGCTAAATGCTATGAGAACTCTTCGCAAGCGCGGGATTCCATCTGCCCGCGCGGAGTCATAGTGACGGTTGTTCGGTAGCGTCCTTGTAAGGTCGAGCTCGATTTGCTTCACAACAGGGTCAATTTTATTTTGAGCCCACATCGAAGTCAGTAAGCGTTGATAGTAACGAACATTCGAGTCCGTGGCCGTTTGCTCTGCTGCCTCTGAAAATAAGGAAACATTTAGAATGCAAACAAACGTCAGTATGTCGAACCGTTGAACACAAGCAGAGCATTCGAGCAAAAACAAAATCGTCAACCGAAGGAAGCACCATACTGTACTTTTTCCCCCAGGAATGGGAAAATAAAATATGCCTCTTATTTTCCCAAGTTTCTTACCAACCAAATATCTGCGTTTCCCAGAAAAAAAGGACGAGAACTTTGATCATCTTGATTAAATACAACGCTCTTTAAAATATTTTCACAATGCGTTTCACAGGAATTCCTGATGAACACGCATTTACAGCTTAGACTTCGGTTCACTTATAACATAGGCTAATAATGTACGCTTGAATTAATCGTGTGTCGTCGAATATCTAAGCAATCGATATCTTTTTTGAGTGAAATCATGAGAAAGCCGTGATTTTCACCTGGTTTCTCTATTTTTTCTATTTATTAAAAGATTTCATGATGTACATACAGGATACTAATTTAGGCGAAGTTTTCGCCTCTGAAGTCCAAGCTACCTTTAATTAAATGATGTTCATATTGACTGAGCTTGTTCATGAAGAAAATTCAAGGCAGTGTCTGAAAGTTGAACTCGAAAAAGTGAGAAATAATTTTGAAAAAAAAAAAACGACGTTCATGGATTTTTGTATTCATTGGAGCAGAACTTCAATAGAATAACATCCATTCCACTATAGATGAAATCGAACGACAAACCTGCAACTTGACTCCGAACCAAGAGGGACCATACACGCCTACGATCTCGCATGGGTACTCCGCGTCGAAGAAGATTTTTGAAATCAGGCTTGATTTTGGGAGAACTATCCCCAGCGCAAGTGCTTAAATCCTGCGTCATTAGAAAGGCATCCCACGAAGCGCGCCAATCTGGATTTTGGGCTTCCTAATGAGTAGCATAATTTTGAGAAAGTTCAAGAAAAAATTATCTCACAAGAAGAAACGTTAGTCCACGAAGTCAAAAAATAAAATCAAGTATTCAAGCAAAAATAAGACGCACATCGAAGTTCCCGCCCTAAGACTGAATATGTTGCTGGCGAATGTTTTTACTTCGTTATTTACATAATACGTCACAACAAATCTTGAAAACGTGGACCTCTTTCTTGAATGTTGTATTATCTTTAGAAATACTGTAAAGCATCACCACGAATAATTACTAAAAAAAATTTTAATATTATGTTACACATAATCAACCTGTAAATGTATATTAAGACCAACACGTCAGTACGAGAAAAATAAACCTTCAATTTTAAAGAAGATACAAACTGCTTTCTCACATCTGCGCTTGAACTTTCTGGTTTCCTTTCAAGTACCGGTGATCAATTCACGGAGAAGATACCTTTAGCGGAATATGTATTTTTGACATTACGGTTTGACGGGACCATCCCATGAATTAGCATTTTTCGTCCAAACTTTAGATACCATCGATCCTGAGACGCTTCCTATTTACCTTATTTAAAAAATACCATCGGTTTACAAAGGGTAATTTCGGCAACATCCGAAAAGAAAAAAACTGGCTTATCTTCCATGTCATTAGCCTGAAGGATACTGTACTGCACTGTGCGTCACGAAGTTAAACATTCATCAATAAGTTTACGATATCCCATCCACATGAGACAAGAGAAATAGGGCACCCACCATCAGTTCCTGTTTCATGTCATCCGCTCTGTCTCGAAGGGATAAGAGCCTAGAAGACGTGGATTGGTCCGGAGTAAGGTCAATAGTTTGCCGGATGAATCCTAGCTCGTCGTAAACTGCGGATTGAGCAGCGTTCGTCTCGAAAGCTCGGGCATCTTGGGAATCGATAACGTCACGTACTAGGCGTGCGAGAACTTCGGGCCGTCGCACGTCTCCTTCACTCGTTCCACCACACGGGGGTGCATCAGGTGGCGCGTGAAGGTCGTTCAGAAGACTCAAATATTTACTCTGCACCTGCGCGAGAAACGTCAACTTAGCGACGAAAACGCAGACTTTTAAATTAATATACCGTCATCTTAACCGAATCTTCCTTTTTCATCTTGCTTTTTCATGGTATCTTGCTTTTGATCTTGCTTTTTCATGGTATTCAACTCAACTTCGGCGTATTATGACTGCATGGACATAAAATCCGTTTAACGAAACCATAGATCAGTACATCAGATCTGATACGTCATGATAACCATAATCGGAAATTTTGAACCAATTGAAATGCTGCCCACAAAATGTTTTTGACATAAAGTAAAGTTGAACCTCTTTAAGTCGAATTCATAGGGATCAGAAAAATATAGACTTAGGGAGGTTTAGATTTTTGGAGGTTTCCAGTTAAGGAAACAAAAAATTTTGCTCAGAGAAGTAGAAAAAATTGAAGGAAATGTGGATATTCAGGGCCTGAACTTGCTTCTTACCGAGTTTACACCTTGCTGAACTTGGAGGCAGGGTTTCATTTGCTCCATTAGTCTTTCACTTCCTTTCAAGATGCATCAAATCATTTGTTTTATTGATTTTCTCTTTCGTATTTCAAGGAAATAATAACCAAAAGTCCTCAGAAAATGTTACTCAGAAGTTTAAAAAAATAAGACTTCGAGTCAGGTAGGCTTTTAATGCATTGATTTTAGGGGTTTTCAGACAGGGACTTGAACAAATTTGAGTTATGAAGGTATCTGAGAGAGGTTCAACTGCATACGACAATACACTGTACACTGGTAGAGTATTATAGAACTACACATGCAAACCCTGTGGCTTCCAAACATTTTTATTGTTGTGCATATTGGGAATAAGGGATCCCTTTCCCCAAGAGTAAAAGCGAAATATATCCTCCTCCCTTAAAAAAGGGGTCTCTCCAAGATTTTATAATGCTTTTTATCTTTCTTTACTTCCCATACTCTATTTGGTTTCTCAATTCACATTAACAGACTGAACAGCGTCTACCCTATTCACGCAAACAATTTCATGGAGGATGTAACAGCTTTCCTTGGGCACTACTGACAAAATAGAAGGGGATGAAATTGACTAGTTCATCACTTAGACCAGTGTTCCCCAACCCATGGTCTGTGGACTGGCACCAGTCTGCAGAAAATTTTTTCTTCAACACAATACATTTTTCAAAGTCAGCAATGATGTCTGTTTTCTTCATCTGAATTTTTGGAAAGACAATTGCAGTTGAAATTATCTGTTAAATAAAAGTTGGATTTTCTTCTAATAATGCTTCAGATGAATTTTCAAATGCTGAAATAAATTCTTTTAATTTTTCATTTCAAATCTTTCTCCAAGCCCACTTTTTGAAGCCATTAAAAGTCAACTGCTACGTTGATTCTTAACTTCATTTTTGCAACAAAGAAAACCTCAAATGCCTGAAATCAAATCTTTTAAGCAAAACTTTTTTGACTGACAAAAAATCTATGAAACTTTGCCAGTCCTCAGATATTCTTATTTTGGAAATTTGCCAGTCCAAATAGAATTCACAGAAATTTACTGGTCTGTGGGCCCAAAAAGGTTGGGGAACACTGTACTATAGACACCTCGGTTTCAACGATTTCTAGTGAAACTCTTAGGAGGCTAAGTTTCCACTGACTTGATAAAATCTGGCTTCCCATTCACGAGCGACGCTTCTCGAATTTTCTGCTTGCACAGACGCTTCTTGCAGGAGTTTCCCGCATTCGATGACCTCGTTATTCATGAACTCCGCTCGGGCATTAGCAGCTGCGATAGAACGAGCAATACCAGAAATGTCTGCGTTACTGTCCTCAGTCTGCGTGAATGTATGGACCCTTTGACGCTTCGGGTCCAACGGTACACTGTTCGCTAAACAAGCAATAGCTTCATCCTTTGCTCGAACGAGTTCTTCATAGGTTTCAACACGGGCTTGTAGAGAACGAACGTCCCTTCGCAACTCATCTGCTTTTCTGGCACGCTGCTCACTCTCCAGTATGGCAGAGTCTTTCGCACGTAGAATTTCAAGGATCTGTCCACTCTTCAATAGTTCTGCAATCTCCGATCCACCGCTGATTAACGCTTGAACATGAGATCTGGAAAAAGAAAAAAAAACAAGTACACTCCGCTAATTACGAACCCACCATTTGAACCTCGTCCCTGATATCAGTGGAGAAGGCTTAATTTTTGAATTGTCTTTGGCACGCAGCATCAAATCTTTCTTCAAATAATACGGCCACTCGTAGGACTTAACATGGTTTCCGAATTACACATGGATCGTACACAAATGACGGTGGTAGCGTTTATTAGAACTATAATTTAAGCTCAGGAACTAAGTGCTGTTCGTTTCAAGGGGCATCTATTGAAGCTGTGACCGCATCATCGAAAATAATAATAAACGCACATAATCAATGCTTTCGCAGCATCTCAGTTTAGCACAGAAAGCTTTCCGTCACAGAAACGAAGTGGAATAAAATACGTTCTAAATACTCAGCGCAGGTATTACGCTTTGAATCTTGTCTTTTAGCGCAAGGGCCGAAAAAAAAGGACTCACTAAAAGGAAGGGTACAAGAACTAAAACTGAGAAAGGAGTCATCAAATAAAATTTTAAAAATACAGTACTAACAAGTTATCTTTTTCCACAGTGAGCACATCACATTGATCCCGTAAGATTTCCAAAGATTGACGCAGTGCGCAATTTTCTACTTCACGAGCCTTCAAATCTTCTTCAATTGACCGCATTCGATTCGATATCTGAAAAACAGCATAAATTGCATTATTTTTTGATATCGCAGCATAATCAAAAATTCAACCTTAGAACAGTTACGACAATCAGCAAAAGATGCGAGAGATTTCCCAGGAAGCCCATCAACGGCAAGCTTAAAACTTCTCACTCGCCTACTGAGGTTTTTAAATCCGGATTTGTTTTGAGGCACTGAACCCGTAGATAGGCCTTCATCGTCCGGGAAATAATCCGATTTCGGCTCAACTGCAGAATAATCGACAAACGTGTCATTCTCAAAATCGGTCAAGGAAGACAAAATCGTACATTCTCTGCCAACTGGAAGTCCTGACAATTTCTTTGAAGCTATTTCATTCGGGGACAGAGGATCGTCAATCCAAGGTAGAGATTCAATATCGACAGATTTCATGACAAGCGACGATCTAGGTTCTGTCCGACCGGAAGGAGCAAGCGGAATGGGTTTGTCTTTTTGTCGCAATAAACCCACGGATCGAGCACGTTGGAGATGCTTCAACCAGATCATGCGTTGCTCGTGCGATACTGCGTCAAATTCATGTTTAACGTTTCCAATGCTGAAGAAGAAAATCGAAAATTACATGTATCCCTCATTAAAGTATCGAAAGAGAAAGCATACTGAATCGAGAAGAAGCCAGAATCTCCATGGTCCATCGTGTAAGACGCAGAAACAATGTTAATTTGTTCCAGCACCTCTCCATCCTCGTACCTGATGATGAAAACCTTCCCAAAACGCTCATCGACAACGACGAGCCGCTTCTTGCGTAACCCAGCATGCGAAACCGGGAGTCGAGAACGCGATGTCTTGAACAGATGTCCCTTGAAGAGCTTTGAATCTTCGAATTCTCCGTCATCGGAAGCGACAGACATCATCTCAATAGGCAACTACGAATTCCGTTCTAGCCAATATTGCGATACATTTTGACTCGCTACATTCACGACTCGGCATGTCGCACTCGACGTTCAAGACAGATCGGAAGTAGATTGTTGGCTGGTTTTACATTCACATCTAATCCACCCTTAACAGAGCCGATCTGCCGCGTCGCCGACTACCACGAACCGCAAACTGTGACTGGGCCAGGCGAGAAACTACACCACCAACTCCAATTGCCGCCCTAAACTCTGTGCTGCGCATGGTTCAGAAATTTTCGATTCACTGTTCAGTAGATGTCGCTTACTTTTTCAGCTTTCACAGGTACAGTAGAGAAAGGCCGCTGTTCAGTTTTCCTATCCTAGAATATTATGCCACAACTGAACCCGAGGAAAATGCAGAACCGTCAGATACAGTATTCCAGACGTACTGTATTACGATTGAAAGTGCAGTTAGCTGTGGATTTGGACCAGTTCGTACAGTTCTGTTCAGCATCGGTCGAATGCTACTTACAGTAGGAATTGGATTATTGTTACTTGGGATTGTTGTAGTTTCGCGAGTATCAGTTTTGTGAAGATCGAAATACTGTATTGCACGCGGGATTTCGAAGAGCATTTTGTAGTCGTTGAGTTGTGATGGGAATTTTGAATTACAAACGCAGTGTTCTCGTTGGCATTTCTTCGCGGTCTCGGGTTGTGTTTGAAGAAGTGTATTACCGGCTTCTTAATTATGGAGATTCTTGAGTTCCACGGACGAAACTAGCGCCTGAAACGGTGGGTGCAGTTGATAACGTTCGTTTTTGAAGCATTGCTACGAAAGCAAGTAAAACGAGCTACTTTTTTAGACGATAGGAACGATTTACGAAATCAATGTACCTTAATTACTGTAGTTAAAGTACACAATTCTATAAGCCGTGTGATATCCAATCAACTTCGATTCTTCTGACCCCGTTTAGATGATAACATCGTGAAGTTCGATTCGACAATGTCCTCACCTTCGGAATCAATCACTTCCCCAAATAGCTCGATTGATCCTGCGGAATTCGAAGCCCTGTACGCAGAGGTTGGTGAAGGTGATAGATCTCATTATAACTGTGGCCAATATCCATATTATTTCTTCAGGTGAAAGAGGTGGAGAAGAAAGATGCCAATCTTACACCAAAGCAACAAATCGATCGTCTTCTGAGACCTGGGTCTACCTACTTCAATCTGAATCCATTTGAAGTTCTTCAGATTGACCCAGATACCAGCTTGGAAGACATTAAAAAATGTTACAAGAAGGTTGGTTGAAATAATTTATGAAGCGAGTGTTCCGCTGATGGCCTTTCACCGAATGCTCTGCAGTTGTCCATCCTCGTTCACCCTGATAAGAACAGGGAAGACGAAGAGCGAGCGAAAAGGGCTTTCGATGGTAAGTCTTACGGTGGCTGACGCTTGTTCTATTTTACTGTCACGTTGGTATGTTGTAAACAGCTGTGAATCAGGCTTACAAGACGTTAGAAGATGAGGAGAAACGCAAACGAGCTTTCAATGTCGTCGAGGAAGCAAAGGCTAGGACTGACCAAATGGTACAGTATTTGCCTGACCCCGTCTCTCGTAGTCGCTTAACAGCCTCATATGTCTTGATAGTTGGAAGAGAAACGAAAGAAATTGAAACGGGAAGGGAAGCCTCCTCGAATCGATGAAGATGATCCCATCAAATATAAGCACGCAGTTGCCACGCTTACCATGAAACTTTTCGCGGACAAGGAACGGCGGCGCCGGCAACTTGAAGCGCGTGACATGGATGAGCGCAAACGGCAACGTGAGCAGGAAATTGAGGAAGCGGAGAAAAATAAAATTGAGAAGGAGTGGCAGAAAAATTTTGAAGATTCTCGACAAGATCGTGTTCGCAGTTGGCAAAATTTCAAAGATAACAAAACGACAACGAAAAAAAAGAAAAAGAGGGAAGCTCCCGGGCCAGTCGGGGGAATTCGTCCCCCGAAGCTCAAACTCGAAAAGCGTCAGTGAAATCACGTGTTTAAATTTGCATCTAACTATTGTCCTGCCATATAGGAAATACAAAATGGCGTTTTCAATTTTACTTCTCCGTCCGGGAAAACGGGTACATTTCTCGTGAGTCAGCGTCAAAGTTTGCGATTGGAAAGCTTAAATTTAAATCATGTACAGTGCTTCGTATAATTAACACATTTCATATCGTTTCATTAAAGTGTGGGTGGATACTATGTGTATATCAGCAATCTGGCAAACTTTTACGCTGTATCTTTTCCATTTGCTCGTAGGGCACTCGTTAATATGTCGCAGGAGGAAATGCTTGATGATTCTGGTTTATTTTCATTGAAATCCAGGCAAACAAATTATTGTTCATCGCAGTGGTTACTCTATAGTATAGGCTTGCATCATGTTGCGCGCTGCGATCAATTCCGCTAAGCCTACCGTCATGCATTTTGCATCCAGAAACATGAGGATGGCAGTCCCGGCTTGTCAAGCCCAAGTAGATCCCATTCAGAAGATTTTTGTTGATAAAATCAAGGAGTATGCTTCGAAAAGCAAGTAAGTTCGTAAATTTTTTATTGAGTACAGTATTAGTGTATGTGTACGACCGTTATTTTCTTCTCCTGATCAGGTCAGCGAAAGATGGCCTCGTGGACGCAGATAACGATGCTTTGAAGGGTCTTCATCAAGAAATCGATCGCGTGAATAAAACGTTCGGGTTCAAAGAAGCTGCCGAAGTTGAAAAACTTCCAACGTTCAATTTCAGCGAGCCAGCAATCGAAAATCCTGCGAAGTGATTCAGCTGAAATAACTCATGGAATTTGTTGATTAGCGTGCAATTATGTAGATTGAAATACCAGTCGTCTGAAGTATGAAATCTAATGATATTCCTTAAATCCTTACACCCCTAGAGGTTTTAGTGACGCATCCAGTCAATTATAATTCTGGAATATTTCAGGCACTGTGACGTATTATTTTAAAGGTTTGGTGTTCGGCTGTCCGTTTTAGTACCAAGAATGACTCTAAGGTGCGTCACTCTTTCTAAGTTGGCTGTCTTCCTTGTTCAGTGATTTATATGGTTTGATTCCGTGAATGCAGAGCTGGCCTTCTTCTGGGGATGGGAAACCCCTTGCTCGACATCTCGGTGGAATGTGACAAAGCTTTCCTAGAAAAATATGGAATGAAGGCAAATGATGCCATTTTGGCTGAGGAAAAGCACTTGTCGATGTATGACGAAATGAAGCGGATGGACGGTGTCCAATTCACAGCTGGTGGAGCTACTCAGAACTCTATGAGAATTTGTCAAGTGAGTTCTCCGGTCATGGCGTGTTTTTATAATCTTTCATCGTGGATACCTCTCGGCACTTGTTTTAGTGGATGTCTGGAATGCGACGTGTGGCGAGTTTCATGGGTTGTGTGGGAACTGACGAAAATTCAACAGTCTTGGCAGAAAAGATGTCAGCTGACGGTGTATTTGTTAGGTATCAGAAAACCTCTGAGCAACCGACAGGTGAAACTTCGAACTAGTTCAGAGAATTCGAAATAACAATTGCGCCAAAACTGATCGGAAGTCTCTCCGACTGATGCGTTGATAAAATGCGCACGAAAATCATACAATAAAGTGATGCGGCGTGTCCGCAGGGTTTTTCCTAAAATGAGAGTTTGAAAACGTGTGTGATAGATTGATTTTTTTTCACACAATTCTGCCTCAACACTCGTCGATCGGAACTTTTTTTTTGCCCAGAAACGTATATATCTTCCGATTAGTTATTATACACTCGATTTCAGGAACGCCTTGCGGAATGATTCGAGAAAATTGATGCGTTGAAATTTTCAACGCTGGGTTATCTTGAAAAATTCCAAAGTTTACCGGGCATAAATTATGCTCTATATTAATTATTAAACTCAAGTACTCTTTAACGAACTGAAAGCTAGCTTCTTACAATAAGCTCAAGTTATTGGATCATATCTCATGAGTACCGTGCATAACTAAACAAGTAGCTCCCGTTTGAACCAAAAATTGAAGGTACGTGCGCCGTGGTCGTGACGGATCAGGGCAAAAGCAGATCGCTTTGTGCGAATCTTGGAGCAGCCAATTGTTTCACTGTCGATCATTTGGATGTAGATGAGCATTGGAAATTGGTGGAGAACGCTGATTTTTTCTACATCGCGGTAAATACGCTCTTCTGTGGAACTTTGAATAGGAGTAACTTCCAGTTTCTGTCCATTTTGTAGGGATTCTTCTTGACCGTGAGTACGGAGAGCATCCTCAAAGTTAGTGAGCATGCATTGAAGTCCGGAAAAACTTTTTGCATGAACTTGGCCGCGCCATTCATCTCGCAATTCTATAGGGATCGGCTTCTCTCCGTATTTCCTCGGATTGATATATTATTTGGCAACGAAACCGTGAGTGTATTAACGTTTAATGAATCAAAAGTGTTGAATAATTAACACCCCCCTCGGCTTCGTAGGAATTTGAAACTTTCGCGGAGGAGGAAAAATTGGGTACGACTGATCGCATTGAGATCGGCAAAAAATTGTCTCAGTATCCGAAAGATGACGCTGCGAGGAAACGCCTGGTAGTGATAACCCAGGGTGAGCTACCTGTGATCTGCGTTCAGGGAGATGAAGTGACGATTTTCGACGTTCCTCACATTCCTGAGGAACAAATTGTTGATACTAACGGAGCAGGTGACTCATTTGTTGGAGGTGAGTTCTTATTTATACCATAATTCGTATTTCTTGCGTTAAAATTAATTTATCCACCGGGTTTGCGTCGATGTAAGCCGCTCGTATCGTGAGGCACCGATCATTTGTGAGAGAAACGCCTTTACAATAACTGCCACGAAAATTTTTTAATGGATCTAGAAAAACAAAAACAGACCAAGGGTTACCCAGTAAAATTCACCCATTAGCTTCGTTGGAAGTTATGTTTTCATCTTCTGTTTGCTCAAGTATTGAGTGATTTGGGAAGTACATTTTTGCACAAGTGCGTATTTTATCACATAGACTGCTATGCATTGAACGAAAGTCCCCGCAATAACCGCGAAGACTCAATGTTGAATGAACTCTTGACAAATCCTTACAATTCAGTGGAGCAAACTCACAAAAAAATAATTTTATCTTTTCGTTCTGATTTTTGCTCCATTGAAAAGAGCTTTAAATGTACTTTTGACGTCATTGGCTTGGAATTTTACTTCGAAAAATTACTTGTAGCAAGAGACGAGGCACTCATTCTTGTGGGAAATTTCTTATTGAGGACTGTTGGTCGTGTGCTGACAGGTATTTTAATTGTGTATAACACGTTGTTCACCAAATCACATGATGCCCCGTTGTACAGGCGTATGGTGTTTCATTACCTGTTTTCCCCACATGACGATTGTTTCGTCTAACAGGCATAGGATTTCCTACAATGTGGTAATTTATTTCCCACATTGGTCAATGTAGATCCATGAGCAGCACATTGATTCCGCGTTGGGAGTTCATGCCGTTTATGACTCTAAATCGTGCGCGTATGCGATGAATTTGAATTTCAGGAAAACGTCATGATTTGTAATAGGCCTGCACGATGCGATTCCAAGACACAAAGAGTTGAAAATCTGTCAGCAAATGTAATGTCTCTGTATTGCAAAGAATGTTCTATTCGACTAGTTTTTGTAGCTGAGAAAATGATTTTGTAAGATAAGCTTTCATTTAGCTCTACTTTACATCAGAAACTTCTTTCGAATTATGGAAAATTTGAATCGATTGCACTATTGGGTATAGTTCATATATTCATGGAAATCTTAAAATAGATTCGCTCTGATCTCTGCGTGCTTGTTTTTGGATCAAATGTCGTAGAAAAATTAACGTTCATTCGCTCATTATTGTTGTGATTTTTGTGATAGTTTCAATTTTTACCGTGTTCGCAGGGTTTCTTTCAAAGTATATCATCGGCAAACCATTGGAAGATTGTGTCAATGCCGGAATTTGGGCCGCGCATCAGATCATTGCTCGGCCTGGACTCACATTCCCGGAAAAGTGCGCGTACGTCGAACATTTGAGTAAATCCTAAATGTTCCAGTCCGTTGGGATCCGAAAATCATGTAGTTCAGTGTGACTTTGCACATCGAAGTGTCACAGTAATGGAATCTTGTTGGTACACGTTGTGATCTGCTGCACTAACACACTACCGTGTGTTATCGTCATCTCTTGAGTTTCGGCGAATCTTCATTTGGAAACAGCGTGAAGAACGAATTCGATTTTCTCACTTTCGGTTGTGCTGAAGTTTTGATTCTCGATTTCCCGTCTAATTTTTACGTGTTTTGTTCGTGTTTTTTGTTTCCAAAACGAATTGTTCACCATTGAGCGTTCTGTTGGTTGAGGTGTTGAAATTGGTCTGCTTAATGCCGATCCGGTGAAGGGCTGTTGAGAAATGAACTCAGAGGTTTGTGAGTGATCTGAAGTGGAGCTGCTCGGTTTAGTTCTATTTGTGGTAATCTAGAATTGAACCGACATTGCAAGTTGTATTGAAACTGTACTCTTCTTAGTCGCTTAGATGACGTGGTACATTAAGATTTTCTGGAGTTGTGTGCATGATCCGCATGGCTCGCAATGGGATCATTACTGATGGTCTCTAATTTCCTTGCGCATTGCAATTAATCATTTAATCAAATTATGCAATATTCAGTGTGAAAATTCGTCAGTTCTAGTGATGAGAGCGGTGGCATAAATTGTATGATCTTTGTTCCTCCTCTGTAATGAAGCAAATTTACAATTCAGCCTATTTCTTGCCTTAAATGATGGAAAAACCAAAAAGTTAAGTCAATTATATGCTGTTCCTTTGATGTCTGATATCTGTGTGAACGAACATACTTTTCACCATGAACCAATTTTGTTTGCCCTACTTTAAAATTCAATACTGTATTACTGCGCTCGGAAATCAGACAACCATGTTATCTATTGTCACTGTAGATCATTGTGTATTTAGTGTGCTATGTCTGTTGAAGCGTCGAGAAGAGTATCGGGAACTTCGTACGAATTCTTCTAGAATTTTCTTCTTTGACTATGATTTGTTTTTCTTGGCATTTTACAGATTGTTGACGTCCGTCGCGTCGGAATGGACTCGAGAGTGTCCAAGAAAGGTGATGAGTATTGGTCCCATGCGGGAAGCTTCGAGAATATGTTCGCGAATCTGGAAGAAATAGATCCGTGGGAGGATCCAGGTCAAGTCTTGGGAGGCTACGCGCATGGATCCATCGAAGCCGAAATTTCTGCCAATGCCAGGTCCGGTGACGTCAGAACCTCAGCGTTTCAAGGTGCGCGGTCAATGGCATCCGAGCCAGAGCAAGAAAAGATTTCAAAATTGATGTCCGAGCTGAAGCTAGTGAACAGAAAGTACCAGGATAGATTCGCACCGATGCCGACTGAAACAGTGAGGGATTTTTTTCTTATACTTTATTTAAAAGGGTTTGAAGATTGTCATTCAATTTTTTTTTAACAAGGAAATATAAAATATGCATGTATTTTTCCGAATATCTTAAATTTCAAGCATAAGTTATATTAGACTTCCGTAATCTTCGTAGTGGACTGGGTGTTCTGATGGAAATGCAGAGAAATCTCTGAGCTGTAGTTTCACCTGAACGATTTGAGGTGTTGCAATGAAATCCGTGTCAGATTTCAAATCCTATTTTCGATTCTGTCGCATTCCGAAGGATTCATTTGCTGCATTAGCAGCACGCGTATTGAATAAATAAGTAAAATCATATCAGTGAAAACATAGCCATATTCGCCCTAGTGTTGCGGTTTCTTACTGTTGTCTTAGTTAAACCGAACGACATCTGACGAAAAACAAAACTGAGTAAATTTATCAAAAATTGAGGGTTATTCGCTTTCAAAAAATAAATCATTGCGACGAACATTAGCAAATCTGAATCCTTGAAGCCTTTTTTTTACGCAGAAATGAAATAACGGTTGAAGAAACTATTTCCTACATGTTATAAATCCACGAATGTATGTGCAAATTTTGTCAGTAGTGTGAAAAAAAATATTTTGTTGTTTCTGGCAGGTGAGAGCAATTATGATGGGACGCCCTTACAGTCTCGAATGTTACAAAACTTTTGCGGACAAAACCAGTCTTCTCGATGAAGCCTTATATAGTGGAGATGGCAATGCAATCCTTGCTGCTGTGCTTCATATAAAGAAAACCATGAAACGAACTCTGCTTGTAAAAGCTTTACAACGACGACCAGTCGCTGCCCAACATCTGCTTCATCACATGAAGCAGCGCGCGGAAAACATGGAAGTTTTAACCCTCTGCAATGCTCTTGGTCGGAAGGAGGATGCTTCGATGTTTCAGTACGCACTTGCTGTAGAACAAGATCCGTCTCAGCGAATCAAAGCCCTGAAAAGCATTGTAAAGGACTCCAGTTTGAGTGAACACGACACTGCGATTGTGAACGACCATATCAGTCTTTTGGAGCGTGTGCAACTTCCCGTGGACGCTGCTGATCGCTCGGGGAATTCGCGAGCAGTTCTCGATTCAGACAAGACGTTAGTCGGGTCATCTTTGCAGGAATCCGTGTATTATTGCACTTTTTATCACTGGGGTGTGAGTGAGAATCACTTAGCGTGTCCTGGATCGCTGAAAAAGTTATTCCAAATGAGTGATAGGCAGTTTCATTGGCCAGTGCTGAGAGCTCTCGCCAATCGCAAGCAGTGGAATCAAATCATTGAGACCTTCATCGTGAAGAAAACTCTACTGCGCAGTGCGCGATTAAAAGGGGACATTCCCGCCAAGGAATTTCTAGCCATTTTACGTTCCGCTGAAGCACCTGCTACCATGATAGACGTTGTGCTTAGCGTCAGTCCTGTCGGAGAGTCCTAGCGAACTGTGCTGGGACAAGTGAGCGAGCCCTGAAGCAGCGCGTTAAATACTTATACACATTGATCGAATCGAAAGAAAAATAAACTTAAAAAATCAAAAACCTCAATGTTTTCCCGAATGACATAGTTTCGTTTTCCAAGACTCCGAACGCTTATCCGACAAAAGTACGCCGTCACTTCGTAAGTACTGTACTGTACTTGATGATTTTTTTCTTCAAGCACGAATTTACGGAAGAGAATACAGTATCCTCTGCTACAAAAAATACAGTTCATCTAAAATGATAATCTTGATTTATTTATTTCTCATTTTTCCCTCGACTTCTTTTTCATTTGAAAGAAGCCATTTTCCTTTTTAGAGAGTAAGAAAATATGCAAATTCAACTTCTCCTTGTTTCTAATGCTGAAAATAATTTCAATAATTTCCCGCTGATGTGCCTTAAATTCCGTGAAACATTAGTGATTACCTACAAAGAATTGAACACTCGTCCAAATTCCAGTTTTAACGTACAACATTGATGTCAGTCAGTCTTATATTCTTTAATTTTTCTTGGTGAAAGACCTTGTTAATTTTCTCGGATAAATTATTATACAAAACAATATTTGGGAAACGGTTCCACGTAAACGTTTTTGCGCTTCTTTTACTCTGAGCACGCACTGCATCGGGGCACACGCAACTGACCAGTCAGGCTAGCGAACGATGCGAGCTCGGAACACTGTGTACTATACTTACGTCTGTTCCTTTTTGACCTGTGATTGCTTGTGATCATTGAGGGTTTTTTTGTTTGTTTTGGAAACGTTGGAAATTTTAATGCAAGGTATTTTTTCCAGTTGCATAAGTTCGTTTGGTAAGGTCGGGTTCGAACGGGTTTCTGTGCAGTTGGGGCGATGATCTTAAATTGTTCATTTATGAGAACTTCGAAGCTTGGCATCTCGTACTGATGATCGTTCATTTCTCACTTTTTTAGAACTTCTCGTGAAATTTCGCGACTTTGTTAAACAAAAAAGTGCTGAAACGCGCGAAAATCCAATCATGCCGGTGAGTATACGAATGTATTGTACTCTGTCCTAGAAAGTTGATCAGCGGTTTATTTTGTTTCAAGCTTGCTAAGGACCTTTTGCATCCACTGCCAGAAGAGGAACGCAGGAAGCACAAGAAGAAACGTCTTGTGCAGCATCCGAATTCCTTTTTTATGGACGTCAAATGCCCTGGTAAGTATTTTTTCAAGCATGAATTTCCATGTACCAGACCTTAAATATTCCTTCTGTCTTCCTAATTTTTTTCATGATTTTAAGATTTTATATGAACCAATACAAAAATTGGTCGAAATGAGTGCTTTTCGTCGTGAATGATCTTCCGGCTTTCCATGGTTATCTTCTGTGTACTTCACTTTTCTCTTGTAGCGTTTTGGAGATGTATCTTCTGTAGTTCATTTCGAAGTTGCTTCGTAATTTTTTTCCTTCATAATTCTGTGACCATTTGGAAATAAAGTACAGTATTGTACTCCCTCGTTGTGAGGGCTAAACTCCGCTAACTCATGTTTGCCTTTATTAGGATGTTATAAGATCACGACAGTTTTCAGTCATGCTCAGACCGTCGTCCTGTGCGTTGGATGTTCGACCGTGCTGTGCCAACCGACAGGAGGTAGAGCGAGGTTGACGGAAGGTAAGAACTATAATTTATCTGACATTAGAATTTTTCTTGAACTTTTTCTTTCGTTTGCAGGATGTTCTTTCAGGAAGAAACAGCATTAACTTCGTGAGGGGACGTCAACTGAGTAATAAAAATCCGATTTCGAGTGTTCTTGTGCGACGGAGACGAGTTGTTGTTCATCCTGTTGCGAATACATGAGCCTTGGAACGTCATGCGTGTTGTTTCGATTTGCATCCCTTACAATACAGTATTTTGAGTAACCATGAATTTATTTCTGTGTTGGTGCTCTTATTGTAATTAATTGGAAAAAAGCCCTAACATAACCATTATATTTTAATGGAAAAAATACTACAGTATTACAGTACTTTTAAACGTCTCATGCTGTTTTCAAGTATGGTATTGCATTGTTTTGGAAGTGCTGTAGACTAGACCAGTTTTCCCAAACCTTTTTGGGCCTGTGGACTGGTAAATTTCCATAACATTTTTTGTGGGCCAGCAAATTCCCAAAAAATTGCTGTAGACCAAAGTTTCCTAAAATTATGACAGACCTGAAAATAATTTTGCGTGATGGATAGACTTCATGGCAGGTATACGAAATTTTCTGCTTCCTGGGTGAGTTAAGCACATGAAGTAGCTATAGCTGAATGTCATCAAAAACATGGAAAGGTGGCTTGAAGAAAGGTTTCTGAGGATGAAAAATTAAAATAATTGATTTCAGCAGATAAAAATGTGTCTAAGTGCTATTAACAGAAAAGATGAATTTTATTTTTCATCAAATAATTTCCACTGCCATTGTCTTTCCAAAGTTTGAATAATGATAAATAGTTCATTGCAACTTAAAAGAAAAAAGCATTACTGTATGTGGAAAATTTCCTGTGGACTGGTGCCAGTCCATGGACCATACGTTGAGGAACACTGGACAAGACTGATATAACCGTTTTCAGGTGCAAGATACCTATCATTTGATGGATTTTAAGGTTAAAGCTTACACATTGAACCAATAAAAGGTGTCAGAGCGTTTTTGTTTGAGTATTGCTCGTCAATCGTCCTCAAAAAGCATTCAATACCTCAAGTGGGGGGAGCAGAAAAAATTTTTTAAAAACGACTTTTCTAATCTGCCTTTAGTTAAACTTCGAGAATTATTTCAGATTTGATTCACTCGCTTTTTGCTGGCTGATGGGTGTGAATGCGTGATTAACAATTGCCGTGCAGCAGGTTATGGCATGATGCATGTTGGAAAACGTGTCCGGACTTGTTGGCACGCTGAAGAGTAAACAGCCCATTCCACTGAGGTAGCCTAGCAACGGGTAAGGAGAATTCATGCGCAGCAGTTACTTGAAACGAAATTACGATGGAAATGATCAATGAGTGCTTCTTGGATTCCGTTTTCAAGGGAGGGGAGGACATAATTTTTCTTTCTTTTTTTTTTGTTGCTCACGGAGTTTGAAATACAGCAGTATTTGATTGAAAACATCGCGAATGCAATATCAAGAAAATGATGGCCGAGTAATGCTTGGATTCGAATTTTTGGTAATTTTTGCGAATTCTTCATGCATATATAGTATACGTACTAAACATATGCAAGGTACGACTGATAAACGAATATATGTTGAGATGAATATATACCCTGAAGGTGTATATCACGCGTAAATCAGCGCTGAATCGACAATAAATCGTCCAGGAAATAACATAAAAAAGCGATCAACGTCTTTGCAAAATTCGAACGAAGTCGTCATACCTTGTAGAACAGTAAATCTTAACTTGTCTGTACTGTATACTACAGTATACACTATATGATACCAAAATCGTCTCCACTATGGCCCCTGGTCTGCAGTATTTTTTACCTGATGTAAATGTGCTGCGCAGCATGGGTTAACATTGAAAATAAAATAAAGTGGAGGAAAATCTATGAGGACTTCTGTGCCCCAAAGATTATGTCACAAATAAGTATTTGAATCAACGGCGGAAACCCACTTTGTGCTGGTGGCGACGTAAATAAATCACACAATTATAAAAAGCAAGTTTTCATGAATACACCACCGAGAAAATTTATTCAGAGAATCATCCCTGTGATTTTCGTCAAACAACAAAGAATTACAAAAACGTATAATTGCGTAAAGAAAACGTGCCATGATATGCAGGCATCTCTACATTTCAGTGACATCTGAAACATGCATGCCCTGTTTACAATTTGTTTATAAAGCCCTTCTCTGCATTGCAGTTTGATTTGAAATTTGATTCGGATTTTTAATCCAGACATTTTGTTAATGAAACAAATTAATGTTTGATGAGGGATTCGTTCAATGCTGCAAACAATACAGTCTATATCTCTGTATACCTTATTTGCCCTCTGAGTATTATTAGTTGGACATACATTATTATAGTTTACCTGCTTTGGCAATGTATAAAGAGCTAAATTACATTACATTACAGTACAGTATACTGTTGTACGGTATTGTACTGTACAGTATATGTGAATGATGTTGACAAGTTCTTCGTCCAATTCGCCTGCTTGAGTGAGTCTTCATTCTCATCGAGGGTTCTGAATTCCGACGCATGAGAGATGGAGTGAATTAGCGTTAATACATGGCGATATTCGTCGGCATTTCGTGGAGATGAACGAAGCTTGGTTGGCGCCTTTATTTGATGAGATTTTCTCTTTCTGAGTACCGTGAACATCGTGCATTCTGTTACCTTTGTGTGATCGCATGTATTCTGTACATAGTGTACATGGTGAGTTGTGAGCTGTGTTAGATAACATGTCTTACCGGCTGACGGTTGAATTATCTATCATTGGGAGTGCAAGGGGTGACGTTGCGGAAGAAAGTGTTGGCAAGATTTTACTTCTCGAAGTGCAGACCGTTCAAGGCATTTGTACTGGGTTTTAGAGGTGTCGAAGCCGTTTTCGATTTCTGGTGCGCTGATGAATACTCCAACCAGTAGTCAAGCTTAATCATCAAGATTTCTTCTATTTTTATTTTAGGTTCTGACTCCGTCAGAATTAGCTTATTTTTGGCTTCAGGAACGTCGTTGCAACCTAATCATGCCCGTAAGAATTACCTGATCATTGCCTTCAGTTCGATTTTTTAAGGGAGTTCATTTTCTTAGCTTGCGAAAGATTTATTGCATCCGCTGCCGGAGGATGAGCGCAGGAAACACAAGAAGAAGCGATTGGTGCAACATCCGAATTCATATTTCATGGACGTCAAATGTCCAGGTACGTTTATAATGTCGATGCTTACGAATCAATGCAATCCAATATACCTAATTGCTGTTCTTTTTTCCAGGTTGTTACAAAATCACCACCGTATTCAGTCATGCGCAGACCGTAGTAGTATGTGTAGGATGTACTACAGTACTTTGCCAGCCGACGGGCGGGAGAGCTAGACTAACAGAAGGTGATTATGTCATTGATTACCAAGCGATTTCTTATTCTAATGTATGATTTCTTCTAGGATGTTCTTTCCGGAAGAAACAGCACTAAAATTGACGAAGGCATCGAACGAAATCGAGATGTCTGGCTCTGTACGCTCCTGCAATGCGGCGACATTTTTTGTGAATCACATTTGCTGTTTCGAATAAAGAAATTGCGAGCCCGGGAAATATAATTGTTTAAATTCTCATGAATGAAAAATCATCGGCTAATGCCTTGTGAGACTTCATACGTTTTTCTTTTCAGAATTATATTTTACTTACGAACCGAACAGTGAAAACGTGTCCTCTCAAAGATGATAGGGACTTATCCATAGACGAAAGACAAGTGAGGTGCGGTGCATAGATTCTGCGCTTTGACTCCGGCTAATCTCGGGTGTCTTAGATGTTCAGAAAGGCGCTTTGTGACTTCGTGAGACCGAACTTCTTCCAGCACCAGTTTTCACCACGTTGTTACTGTACCTGGAACTCCGATGATGCTTCGATATGGATGAAGGTGACTTCGAAACCACTGCCGAAATCGGCGAAGGTCCAGCAAGAATTGTTGAGAATTTCTCCGGATGGCCCTCAAGACTCTCATCTTTTGAACGTAGCGATTCTGGGCGCACCAAACGCCGGAAAATCCACTTTCATAAATGCTCTGGCGGGAACTAAAGTGAGATTTTAATTTTTTTCTGCTGAATCATCCGTAATCCGCATCTTATTTTTGTCCTCATCCTCAGATCGTTTCTGTATCCTCCAAAGTCCACACGACGGAAAAATCAGCTTCTGTTGTTTTGAGTGAAGGTACAACACAAATCGTTATTTTGGATACTCCTGGGGTAGTAAACGCTGCGGAAGCAAAGAGGTGTGATTGGACGTTTTCAGAATATTTATATTCTATTTGTTTCTTGATTTATGAATTTCGCGTAACTTGAACGAACTCCTGTTTTTTAGATGCCCCCTTCCGATCCCCCGCTTTCCTTCACTCATTGGGATGGAAAGATGTGCAATTGAGGAAAAATATCGCACACCAACTTCTAAGTCCAGTAATTCCGTATCTAAGCAGTAGATTCTGCTATTTGACCCCCCTTTTTGCATAATTTTTGGTTGCAAAATTTTATTTCAAGTACGAAAAGTAAGAGGGGGATGGGGTAGCTAAGTTACCGCGTACGAAAAGAACATTTTTGATCTGAGTAAATCACTGAACTTTTTCTTGATTTTAACGGAACACATATATCGATGTGTGACATAACGTGTGTAAGAATTGGAAGACATGCAGATGCAGACGTTTCCGGAGTTTTACATTAAAGTTTAGGCCCTACTGATCAGCGAGAATTTGCAATATACAGTATTATATTTTTAGGCATCGTCTACCTTCAACGTTTGTCCGTGATCCCGAGAAATGTTCTGAAATCGCAGATGCATTGGTGGTCATTCATGATGCCTCAAATCCGTATCAATGGAATCAGCTCGACCCAACGATCAGAAAAATTCTGGAGCTGAATTCTGATAAACAGAGTCTGCTCGTTTTGAATAAGGTGATTCCAAATTCGACGATTAGGCTATTAATTTTCATTCACGAAAGGTTTTTCGCAGGTGGACAAAATCAAGTCTAAGAGAACGCTTTTGGATCTCATGCGTGTATTAAGCGATGGCGTTGTTGATGGGAAAGCGTGTGTTTCGTACAGTGGTCGACTCGCAAGTAAAAGTGAAGCAAAATTCGACGCTGATGAACTCGCTGAACGTTTTCTTTCGCGCGAATCGCTGTCCAGAAGTGGTACGTTCTGCAAATCCTGCGTCTGCTCTCCATTTTCACAGATTCACATGGTGAAGCTGTGATGAAGACATTTTATGCTGCGAATGTTGAATTTTCAGGATTTATCACAACAGCTCGACGGAATGACGAAGAACACTCCGTTGAAACAACCTTGAATAATGAATCCGGAAACGGGTGGAGTTCGTTTTCCCGCGTGTTCATGGTTTCTTCGCTTACGGGTGATGGTATCGCGGACGTGAAGGAAACGTTAATCAACATGGCGCTTCCGCTTCGATGGAAATATCATCCCGTCGTGACCACGGACCAAGATCCAAAAGATCTTGTTCTTCAGTTTGTTCGTGAAAAGTTCCTTGACAAACTCAAGAAGGAGATGCCGTACATGTTGAATTTCAAAATTACGACGTGGAAAATCGTTGATGGTATGTATTCATTTCCGTTCATGAGAAATTTAAAAATACAGCTGGACGTTTTAGTAAAACTGCTGCATAATTATTTTCGGCACTGTGTACGGTTTAGTTTGCCGTAAAATTTAGTTAAAATGTGTTACTTGTTCAAATTCGGCGCTCGTAGTCTCTTGAGGTCTTAAGTAAGCCCGCAATAAGATTAATTCTCGTCTCTCCAATCAGTGATTTTTTTGTGTGTGGAAAATTGTCAACATAAAGTTTTTTGCTATAAGTACATTTAGAAATTAATGCAGAACTCATACTTCGCGGAAGCTGAATTTTGTTTGTCGAACCAGAGCTTAGACCTTAGAGTGTGCGTCTCATTTTTGCAAATTTTTTCCCTTTTCAATTAAGTTTTCATGACTACCTGTGCAGTACTCCGATTTATTCTTTGAATGTCCTTTTTTTTTCTTCGTACTAGATGACTTCTTCATACAGATTCAGGTTGTACCTGCAAAACCACACTGGGTCAGGTACCTAATCGGTTCAGGAGGAAGGCACGTGAGAGAAATCGCTATGGCATTGGAGGAGGAACTTTCGAAGTTGTTTCGCTGTAACACGAAAGTGTCGATCACGGTTGGTGGGGGAGAACTCCAAAAGAATAAACCCGCGCTTCAGAAGCATAAAATCTCTTCATAAAAGGGAGAAGATTCATAAGCTGCGATTAATTGTCCTAGCGTCAACCGCGAATTTTTCTTCGAGTCAAGTACGTCGCATACGTGTTTGGCAAATTGCTTGGCAGGTGAACCAACGAGGCGTCCGAACCGGTCTCCTTTGAGCTCGATTATTCCTCTCATTAACCTCTTGACCTCTTTAGCCGGAAATTCTGTTGACCTGCATTTAAATGCGGTTTCACATTTTTATACGCACGTTCATAGAAAAAACTTGATGGAATATTGCGCATGTTTCGACGTTATCTTGTGAAATGATGAAGAATACGATCGTCGATATTTTACGGTTGTACTGTATCTCGAAGGACAAATTAATTACGAAACGTAATGTAATTTGAAGCACTTAACTTCCTTGAGTTGTGCTGGAATAGCATTTGGTTAGATGTTCTGGAGTTGACATTTTTTAAATGTTACATTACGTGACCGACCAAGAAGTTGAAAATATTATATTGGTGTTTGATCATAGAAAGCGTTACTGGCGATGCAGTATCGTTGATAAATAAGGGTAGCTGGATTATACACAAGTCGAAATTCCGCATAGTAATGTACAAGCCAAGAATAAGAACTTGGGCTAAACTTCCATTCTGCTCCTGAATCTTTTGGAGAGGCTTCGAACGTTTACTGTAGGTTTGTTCTGTTGACATCGTGATGCAACTTCGTGCACTTCGATTGAACTGACAATTGCTTAAATGCCGTGAGTTCAATTGGGTAATCTGTTGATTTTTTGATGGGCATAGGCTAGTAAGGTTGATTGATAATTTTAGATAGAACTAGTCATGTAAGTGAAGTCATTTGGAACAGATAAAAGTTCCTTGAAATTTCAGGTCGCATGTTACGCGGGTCGGTCACACTAAACCTCAGCACATTTTGGAGTCTTCGAAACGTATTTGCTATCAATTCTCACTGTTCAAGAATATCCTTCGGGTTACAACTGCTGATGACATAAAGGGCGAATGCGAGACGATCGTCGGGCGTGTTGCAGCTCTCCATTAAATCAGCCAGTTCGATAAGGTCATCGAAATTGATAATTTCCACATCACCGCTTTCCCGCTGAATCAGCTTCAGCAGTAAGACGGCCATGTACGAGGGATCGCCGTGAAAGTATCGTGGCAGGCTTTTTACAATTTCATTTACGAACTGCGAAGCCGTCAGTCCTTCTGACAAATGTACCAATTAGTAATCTGAGTTAGTTGAAAGGAATTCATAGATATAAATCACTTACTTCCGTAATCGTTTGAAAGTGCCGACCGCACTCGGGTGATATCCGCGATCGTGTTGGGCGTTACATCTTCATCAGGATTGTCGTGTAATTCGTCGCAGTGATCCACGTATCGACATCGCAGTGGCAATCGAGCTGTCGCGGGTTTCTCGTAAACTTCCGTCCCGGCGCTTCCTGGGATCTCAGGAGCGAACAACACGTTTCCCATGAATTTTCATAGAAGCCAATGAAAAATCATAACGATATAATTTTCGAAGGTTTCTCAAGGCCTCTATCCATCATCACAGAAACTCTGATAATATGGAAGATTTTTTCTACCGAGCCCAGTCAAGCTTCAGCTTATTTTCCTCCCAATCCCGAGAAAGTTGCGTTTAAAAACTACAATACAGTAACGATATAATTTTCGAAGAAGCAAAGTCGTTTTGGTGAAGAAACTTTTGGTAATACAGCATTCCAATTGCTTTTCTGGAGTACTGTACACGTTTGCTTGTTGCGCATTCAACATTTTTCAAATCACCTCGTTGAGAAATTAACAATCCTTCCTGTTCGACTTCAGATTCAGATCGGATGCTTATATTTCGCGTCGTGATACCTGTTGTATGATTTGCGGATACATGTATGAGCTCTCAGAATTGCGATAGTTATAGACGATTAAATTATTCATACTTTTGCAGTTGATGCAGGAGAGATGATAACCTCGAAGATTTCTCTTCGTGAACAAGTTTCGAGTTATCCCATGTCGAGTGCTCACAATTTCGCGCGTTAGCGTTTTGGTGGTGATGACAGTGTTCTTCGCCGATTGTCGCGGTGAATTACTCCTGGAATGCAGAGAATCTAATTTGTGTTTTCTTCGATTTACTTCTCAGACTAACGCTTTTCGGTAGTTTTTAAAAGTAAATAAGTGTCAGTAAAGTTTAATAATGGACTCCGAGCCAGTCGCTGTGTCCGAAGCCGCGGAAAACGGCAAAAAAGAGTCCGGCTCCAAAAGAGGCCAAAAGAAGCGAGGATCTGCGTTGGAGCGCCTCAAAGCCGAAGGGCGGGCTCTCGTGAAGGGACTGGATGAGATGGAAGAGGAAGAGGAAGAAGTTTCGGGGCGTCGACGCACTCGTGCTGCTGCCCGTGGCGTGTCTTACACTCCCCCGTCGAAGCGCGAAAAATTGTAAGATATTTTTATTTAAATTTTTACTGTACTCACAGAGTGATTTTGTGATCACTGAAGCTTGTCCCTGCTCTTCCATTTTCGCATGAAAAACGAGCAGTTTTTAGTGATACCTGCTGCAAAATAAAATAATTTACTGTACCACTTTTGCGCAAACTAACTTGGTATACCATGTCGATCGGATCTATTCGATGAAACAGAGAGGAGAACATTGCCTTGACAAAAATAAATTCAAAGAGTTTGGGGATGTTGTTCACGTTTTCTTTCCGAAGGTTGCTGCATTTTTTCTGTTTCCTCCGAAAGATCAAAAATTTTCTCATTTATGGTTAAGTATGACTTTTAACCCGTATTGAAGCGAAACGCTAGCAAATTAATCACGACAATCTTGCGTGTTTATTTTTATGAAGCAATGGCGTAGTTCTGCGTGAATACTGGCGTGCTTTCCGTGAATCTGGGATCATGCTAAATTCTTCACTCAAATTATTTTTTTTGTGTTTCACAGGTCGCCGTCGAAAAAAGGGAAAGGCCGGAAAGGCATGGATTCAGATGAAGAAGAGTCTGAGGAAGATGACGATGAATTCCAGATGAGCGACGACAGTGACGCTCCGAAGCGGAAGAAGGCTGTTGGGAAGCGAGCATCGCGCGGCCGAAAACCGTCCTCTGGACGTGGTCGTCCTCGTGGTGGCGGAAAGCGGTCCAAGGGTAAAAATGTATCCGACGAGGAATTATCCGACCAAGGCCACGGTTCGGGGGATGATGATGATGAAGATGACGAAGACCGAGAGGAGGTTATTACGAAGACGACTGCGGAACGTCGCAAAAACAAAGACGCCAAGCGAAAGGACAACGCTGAATCGAAGAAAAAGGCGGCGAAGAAAGCGAAGAAGGTGGAAGAGAAAGAGGATGAAGATGAGGAAGTCGAGAAGGTTGGTTTAGATGAGGACGATTTGGACGAGGATAGCACTGAGAAGAATGGAGACGCCAAAGCCGTCGTTGATGACGACGATGTGACGAAAGAGGAAGTTGAGCCTGCAGCTTCTGCTGAAGCAGAAGAGAAAAAGGATGAAGGTAACTTCAACGTTTCCACAATTTTCCAAGTTCTTCCTTATTGAAGAGTTTTTGAATGTTCTGTAAATGTCGTAAGTTTGAACATGACTTTGATTAAGGTTAATTATTCGCTCGGTCAGATTTATGGTTGGAAATGACTGAAGGTTATTCCGAAGAAAATTAGGTGAGTTGAATTTTAGTCAAATAGGGTTAGGAGTTCAGTTTTGGCCTCGCTTCAGAAAGTATTCGTAAGAACTTTAAGATACTGTCATGGCGGAAGTCGCTCCGTTCATAAGAAGAATTACGGTTGATCTTCCGTTTAAGAATTACTTACTCGCTTCAATTTGCGAACAATTTCAGATCTACCGGACGAATCTGAAGAAAAGGCGGAAGAAGCAGGAGAGGACAAGCCTGAAGAAGAATCCAAGGACTAGAAGGAAGCACTCGTTGATGAGCGTTGTTGAACTTGTAATTTAGATTTCCTCGTTGTGCGACTGAGCCCTCGGTGTATGTTTTGTGTGTGGGTGGCCGTGAGCGCGGTTGTTGTGTTTCGAATGGTACAAATCGTTCCTTATTTTATTTTAGTATGTTTTTTTCATTTTTCTGAATCTCTGTGGACGTTCGAAGACGTTGGGTTTTTTGGATATCTTCTGACAGCTCCTGCTCCGCCAGGTTGTTCCGATAAATTTCGTTTTAGCAGCGTTATTTTTTCATATTTTATCTGGAGTGCGTGTTCTTGTATTTGGAAATTAGTTGAAGTGGGGTTTTTTATGCTGGTTTTTAACTTTTTTCGTGCCGTTTTCAAAAGAATTCGACGACAGGATTTTATTGAAGTTTTTTTTTCTGCTGGTGAAGCATCGGGATTATCAAGGAAGAGCCGTCGATCAGCAATGCTAATTGCACCCGTGTGCATCCACTCGTTACAAACTTGTTTGGAAACCGGTACTCCGATTGAATAAAGAATCACTTCAAATACCTCTTCCTGTGAGAATTCAGATTTTTGTGCATGGCACTTCGGGAGGTACAGTACCCAACCAGTGCCTATTCTTGAGAATATGGATACTGTACTGTATAACAAAGATATTGTTCTTTGTGGCTTTTGTTTTAAAGAAAGTAGCAAAATTTTCTCGCACTTCGCGAACTAATCTAGGATCAGTCGCAATATAATTGACAACTTCAACTTTTTGTTAGCTCATGGTTGCCGCTGGTTCTTCCGTTATTTACTGTAGTTCATTGTTCTCAATCACAGTACTCTTGACTCGTTTTATAATACACACTGTGTACAGTACTACTGTAGCTACGTCAGTGATCAGCTAGTATAGTAACTACTATACTATATTGGATAATATTGCAGTTTTATTGCAACCGCATACAATGCACAACACGAATGCGATGTACGTAAAAACTGGAGGGAAGCTGTTTTCTGGGCAATGTTGCATAGAATTACTCCATCTGAGAGATGTGAACAAACATATCGAATCATGTTCGTTTGTCTCCTATGCGCGCCCCCATCAGGACTTGCTTACTACAGTATATGTACAGATGATGGTTAAATGGAGAAGTTAACCTTGGTGAGCTAGTGCTTATCATAACTTGTTGATGATTTTCGCCGCACGATATTTTCTGTCTTTTTATACAGTATTTTAATACAACTTTCATCCTATCATCTCCTCGAAGCATTACATGTACTGTACACTTCGTACAGAGTTATCCAGCCTCAAGGAAGCGTTATACTGTATAGTACAGTACAGTACTATCCAACTATTATGTGGGTGTAAGGTACACTTCCTTTGCCTCATTTTTGTTTTTTTTAAAGACATGTAGATGTCACTAAAACAGCAATTCTTCAAACGCGGCGTATCCGATTTTAAGGCCAGAATAACGTGGCCGCTTCCCCTGTCTCACGTACTGCATTACCATCCGGCACATTAACGAGCATCCCTGAGGCAGGTTGCATCGTTATATTCTTTAATGCCTTTTAGTGAAATTCACGGGGAAGTTAGGATCGACGGGGTCATCTTAATCCACGGGTAATCTGGAAAAGTAGCGTCTATTTGACGTTAGTTAGGTTCGTTGTGGGCTTCCCGCCGGGACGAAGGTGGAGTGCGAAACGCAATTTGAAGGAAAAAGTGCCCCGAAGAGATCGATTCGCGTCTTTCCCAACACTTTCATCCGTAACCGTGACGAACTAGAGTTCATGTTCATTGGATTGAATACGACATGTATGATTTTCGGATGCAATTGGTCCGAATGTTTGCAAAAAAATGTTTGGCGTTTGAGTTGTTATATACGTGATTCGTTTGCCGCTGCATGCACGATTCGAAAGAGGCGGAAGTTTCAATGTCATTCGCGTTCTTCTGCATGTAAATTCACCTTTGCAAAACGTGAATTTTTCGGTAAGATCCGAACGAAGTGAATAGTTATCGCGTCTAATTCTGTTGTATCATTTCTATGTAAGTCAGCTGATCTCGCGCGCAAAAAATTACTCCACTGTATACTGTACTCTGCATACTTCGTTCTGGCATCGAAAGTGATGGTGATCAATTTTTGCTTAGTTTCAGATCTTCGGCCGTGTTACTCCAAAGCAACAATGGTTCGAATGGATGTTCTCGCGAGTGCTCTGAATACAATTAATAATGCCGAAAAACGAGGCAAACGACAAGTGCTGATCAGGCCTTGTTCGAAGGTTATTCTGAAGTTTCTTTCGGTCATGATGAAGCATGGTAAGTGATGGCTGTTCTTCTGTCGAACTGTACGATGTTCATTTCGGTGGTGACAAAGCGTAGTTTTGTAGACCTGATCCATGAGGGTAACGTACGTCATCGTTGATACGATTAAACATCACGATGTTATACCCAGAGACTTGTTTCCGATATCATGAGATTTTTTTATGACTTCCATGATCGCAGTAACTATATTTGAAAGCGGAGGTAGATTCCGTCATCTCAGATCCGTTACAGGCGATAAGGTATTGACCCCTTGTATGTAAGCCTGAAACGAATGCCACTAATTTTGGATTGCATCCATCCCATTTTGAAAATTAGAAAAAAAATCACGCCACATTTTTTCGTAGTAATCACTGAGAGCTGACTATTTTTTATGCTGACCACCTTCGAAAGTTCTCATTATCCAAGTCGCCTTTCATGTTCGAATCTTCATTGCTAGAATTACTGTACTGTACCTCAAGACAAAGTAACAACTGTCCGACATTCCAGTGCTTTTACGATCAGCTTACATATTTTATCTGGGAAATTTTTAGCAGGTTCAATGCTGATCCTGTTTGAATATGTTCCTTTTTTTTCTAAATGCCTGAAAAGGGTACATCGGAGAGTTTGAGATCGTGGATGATCACCGCGGAGGCAAAATCGTTGTTAACCTTACTGGTCGATTGAACAAGTGTGGAGTCATCTCTCCCCGGTTCAATGTTCGGATCACTGAAGTTGAGAAATGGACGACAAACTTACTGCCATCGCGACAGTTCGGGTATACAGTATTCTAATTTTATTTTACCTTTTTCGGTGTGCCTAACCATTTTGATGTACACATTCCAGGTATGTTGTGTTAACCACTTCGAACGGCATCATGGATCACGAAGAAGCGCGTCGAAAAAAAGTCGGGGGCAAAATCCTGGGTTTCTTCTACTGATGTGGTTTGAAATAAGAAGCGGAGAATAAAAGTGGTTCTCCGTAATTTGCCTGATCCCAGAGCAGTTTTCTTTTTTATCGAGCGATTATGTAGAAGATTGAATAACCAAAAGCGGACTCCAACAAGTCCAACAACGAGAGTGAGGTGTCAAGACTGATTCGTTGTTTCTTCTCTCAATAGGTATGCGTAATTGTATGCGCATGTATTCGAAACTCTATGCGACGCGTACGCAGAAAACTACTGTGTTGGTTAGATAAATTTTCTGGATGTGGAGTATAATTTATCACCTGAAGATATTCATCCGACGATTCTTCTAATGCCGTGCTCGCAGGTAAATATCCGATTTCCGCTGCAGATCATCTTCATTCCCGCACTGGGGCATCGCAATGTTCATTTATGTCTCACGTTTTTATGCTACAGTGTTCGATACAATTAATTTTGCTTTATTTTTTGTGCTTTAATGAACTTCATAAGAGGGTAGCATTCGAAAAAGGCGCTTTCCATCTTCGTTTCAGTATGACGTCCGCTGACATGCCTTGGTGTCGCGGATTTTATTGAGTGTTGAAAATTTTAGGACGTGAAGGGTGTTTTCATTTTCAGATTTCCTATTTGCTGGCACTGATGAGTAAGGCTAATAGAAATCAAGTTGACAATGAAGCTTGAAATTCTCCGGCGAGATGAAAAGTGTGAATGAGAAGAAATTTCCGATGTCGTGAAAGTCAGCGCTTGCATCAGGATAGTTTCCAGCGACGTTTTCAAAAGATGAAATCGTAGTTCGACGAATACAGTACAGTATTTATCCCGAGCCCCGAGCTCGACTTTCTCGTATGACGAATAGGTGATGATAAAAGTTGATGTACAGTACATTACAGTATTGAATTGGCGAGCACGGCATGGTGTTAATTTCTACTGGTTGAGGATGTTCTTCGTCGTGTGCGTATTGTTCGATCGAATGTTGTCCATTCGGTTCCAATTCTTACCTGTCCGCTTGGCGGCCAGCGGATGAACTGCCATAGACCATGCATTCTGGAAGACGACCAGGATGTCCGATGCGTTCTCTTTGTTCTTCTGTAAGAATTTCGACTGGAGAAACAGGGTGCAGTCGAGGGAGAAACGGTATTCATCGTTCTCGAGATTCATTCAGCGATTGTAGCAGTATTCGAAGATAAGTATACCGTACTTATCAGTTATGTATTTTAGTTATGAACTTCTCTCCATATACTGTTCCGTGTACATTTCTTGATGCATACATTTCTCCACTCGTAAAGTATCACTGAGAGCATTTAAGAGTTTTACGAGAACACATGCAAAGCAGTGGAAAAGCGCTTTTTGTCGACAAATAAAGAATTCGTGTAAGCGTATATCTTCTGAGCACTGATAACTGAAGTGTCCTACATGCAAGCAATTTCACACGAATGTCCGCCTTCAAAAGCAAGGTGGAGGTCTTACTCAAAGGTGAATGGATACCTGAGTGAATATGTATGCATATTTCAGAGCCATTTTGCTTTCTATATTACTGTATTTGATTTTATCCCCTTGAAATCTTTCAGCATGCAGCAATAAGGCACAATGAGATCATTGGAAGTCTTCACCATATCCCCAAATTTAACGTGGAAGGTCACTCATTGCTGTCATTAGTGTTGGTAACACAGTGGGGTTTCAACTTACAAACTTAATTGGTTCCTTAACAAAGTTTGTTGGCTGAATAGTTCGTTAGTCAGATTGGTTTTTCCCTTAAGAAAGTATAAAAGAATAATTTTAATATTTTCCAAAACCTTAAAAATGCCCATGAATTCTAGAAAGTGCAGCATTAAAATATATTGTCTGGCATAAAATTCATTAAATTGGTTTTTCCCTTAAGAAAGTATAAAAGAATAATTTTAATATTTTCCAAAACCTTAAAAATGCCCATGAATTCTAGAAAGTGCAGCATTAAAATATTTTGTCTGGCATAAAATTCATTAAATCTTCCCAAGACAATGTACAAGAAACTCACCGCAGTAATACAATCAATAGAAGTGAAAATTTATGAGTTTCTATCCAGAGGTTTCTTTTGAAATTTTCAAGTGCGACACCACTAACTCACAAATCAAGTACTTATAGGATGGACAATTTTAACGCTAAAAAGCTGTTGAATTAGAATGAATGAACCCAGTTAGAATGAATAAAAACATTGTGACCAAGAACTGGTCACTAAACTTTTGAGACATTCTTAGATGAATTAATAAGTTTAAACATAAATCCCTATATTTTGGTGAAGAAGTTCGTTTCTAGACCCATGAGCATTTGGAGAACTCAAAGTTTGTAAGCTGAGTCATGCGTTTGTTACCTGGATGGAGTAGCTGAGGCCAAAAGACATGAGTTTGTAAGCCAGGGTAAATTTGTAAGCTGTGACCCCATTGTATACTGGTGGACTCTCTCTAAATACAAATTACAAGGGTCCAGAACATTTTTTGCAGAGAACAGCTGTAACATGAGACAAATATCCTATGGGCTTGAAAAAAAAATTGTACGCCGAAAAATTAATTTTAGACAAGATTGTTGAGGACAGATTCCACATGCATTAAATAATTAAGAGCCCCCATTATGCAGCATATGGTTCATTCATTAACTTATCTGAACTTATTTAATCCATTTTCCTTGAAACTCCTCATCACTCAGTGATGTTCTGGATCCCTTTTTAGTTGGTGAGCACGAGAGAACTGTCCTCCACCTAAATGTTCTCTACAGTTTATTGTAGTCATCATGGCGGCGACTTGTGGACGAGAGTCGCGCCGCCTCACATCGTCACTGATCGTATTGACGGTGTACCCGTGTTTTCTTGACGTACGAGAATTTAATGTGATCGTGTCCGCTTTGTGTTAGGCTTTGATGTTATGTTAAGCATTCGAGGCAACTTCCCAATCTTCGGCTGAGATGGAGTGTTAGAGCTAGTGGATTTTGTGTCAAAGGATTAGCCGCATCGGAGCTGCTGGCTTTTACAATCCACCGTATCTCGTCATGGCTGGATTGATGGGGAATAGTGATTCATATTCACCTTCGGTGAGGAGTTGCTTCACTGTATTTGGTGGCAAATAATCGAGAATTAATTATTAGGTTGGGATGATTTTTGTTTTCAACCTGATCGTGGGAACGGGGGCTTTGACCCTACCAGCTGCTTTCTTGCGTTCCGGATGGTTTCTGGGAATCTGCTTGCTTGTATTCCTGGCATTCGTAAGGTCTGTTTTCATTCAACTCTGTTCTTTAGTGCAAGTTTCACATTTCAGTGAAAATTTCAGTTACATAACTGCAACCCTTGTCATCGAGTCAATGGCTGCTGTCAATGCAATCATAAAATGGGAAAGCATCCAGAAGCGGAAAAAGGTTTCAGACCCATCTAGATTCATTATTTTCAATGGTTAGTGTACCCGGCTTTTTATGCAGAAAGGTGACGACGTATCACAGGGAAGGGCAGAGAACATGCAATCGTCTGAAATTGAGTGGGAACCGCTTCTCACCGATCAAGATCCAGGTTTTTGCTGCTTTTCTCATTCTTCTGTCTCGTACAAATGTTGATGTTCGTCTTGAATTTTAGGAATCGATCACGAATCGGCGTACTCCACAGAGAATCTTTTTGAGATTCGTCAACAAGTCGAAATGGGGAAAATGGCTCGTTTATTTTTCAACCGAGGTAATTTTGCCTATTTTTCGAGATTCCGGTTTTTACTCTTTGCTGGTTCCTCTTTGCTAGTTGGACTCTTGCTGTTCTACCTCACGATCGCTATTTATTTGTATGGCGATCTCGCAATATATTGTGCCGCTGTCGCTAAATCCCTTAGAGACATATCTTGGCAAGTAATCTTAATTTTTTTGGATTTCATAATGATTACTGTAATGTACGCTGTTTGATGGAAATTACAGTACCTACGTGCCAGCAAACCAAACGTGCAACGGCACCGCACCTGACACCGAATTCTGTTGGGGACCAAACTTCGATGTGACGCGGAAGGACGTATATCGAATATTCATCGTGAGTTTCTTCTGGAGTGCCAGTCATTTTCGCACAATATAATACGCTGTTTGTGCAATTCCTCAGGGAGTTTTCATAAGTATTGTGGGACCTTTCACATTTTTCAACGTTCAGAAAACAAAGATGCTTCAAGTCTTTACATCGGTATTACGCTGGCTTGGTGAGTAAGATCCTTGTTCCAAATTATGAAAATTATAAATGCTGCTGAGTGTTGATAAAAAAGATGCACTGTTACGGAAATCCTCATGAATGCTGATTTCTCATACTCTGGTCTTACTGAAGAAACTCACGATTACGATAATCTCCACGAATCATTATTGCTCAGAGGTGGGCAATTTAAGTTGACAAAACAGACCCATGTCTTCAAGAATCTTCAACATTAAAAAGTAACAGTATCTGTGACAAGAAAGATTCCGTGCGTAATATTAGTGGGAATTCAAAAGAATATCCAACCCTTTTACAGAAATTGAGGAAAAAAATGCCTGCAGTGCATTTTGCGATCAAGCTCCTGAGTTTTTTTTTCGCGACTGATGCCCATTTACTGTATTTGATTTATTTCCTAAGCGGATTAAATTTTTTTCCCGCCATTTAACCAGGTGAATTGTGTTATACAGTGCGTCTGATGATTTTTTTCCATATTTATAGCTTTTACGACGATGATTGTGTTAGCCGCCATGGTTTTGATCAAGAATGGACCTACGAAGATCGAACGAAAATTTGCAGATCCTATGGGGCTTTCAAATTTTATCGGCATCTGTGTTTATTCATTTATGTGTCATCACTCTTTACCTTCGATGATCACTCCAATTTCTAACAAGAACCGCCTCGGTTCATATTTGGCGGTCGATTACGTGTTGATTCTGGGTTTCTACTCGCTTCTTGCTCTCAGTGGGATTTTTGCATTCGATTCCGTGCCTGATCTGTACACGTTGGAATTCCAGCCGAACCGTTGTAATCCTGATCAATCTGTCACCAACGTGGCGTTTTTTCAGTATTTTCTTGCACTGTTCCCAGTTTTTACTTTGTCAACCAATTTTCCAATCATTAGTATTACGTTGAGGGAAAATTTGAAAAGCCTTTGGGCGGGTGGCGGTCGAAGACGCGAATATACTTTCGTAAATCGTGTTGTGTATCCGCTGATCGCGTTAGTGCCGCCGGTTTTGGTTGCACTTGTGGTGTCCGATCTTGAGTTTTTAGTTGGAGTGACAGGTTCATACGCCGGTGTGGGCATTCAGTATGTGATCCCTTGCGCCCTTGTGTGGAGGGCACGTCAATTGACGAAACCCGGGGGAAAGTTCTGCTTTCCTCCATCACGAGACGACGACAGATGGAGTGTATTCCGGAGTTCTTTCTGGATAATTATGGTGATTATATGGGCTGCTACGTGTATTATATTCGTGACTATCAATCACTTCAAAGTTGGGATGTGAAACCGTTTTGTTTCGGAGAAGTACCCTCGTTGATACGTCTAGTCCTTTTCTGGTATTGTTTGACAGTCGGAGCTGAAGGCATTAGTTCCTATTCCTTTTCTTTGAGTGAGGCTCGGGGTTCTTCACGAAACTCCGTCTTAGCTTGGTAGGTACCTCAAGTCCCCTACGGCCCGGCGTAGCGAGGATGGTCCATAAGTTTCGAGACTAAAGCAATTGAGAATTTTGAGATCATTTACTGTATGATATTATCTACAGGACAGCAAGAAATGGTTGTAATATTCTTGTGGAGGATCTCGATATTTTCCAATTCATCCGTGGCTTGATTACATTTTTTGCCCAAAAGGTGTGAATGTATGTCCTTCAAAAATAATGTGCATTGCACTGAATTTCCCGCATAAAAAAACCTCACCTCACCGAAAAAACAGTTTAATTTTGTAATTGCCCTGACGCGTTTCCTTGTGGAGGTACAATAGTAGGTCATTCACATTTTTTTCCAGGATTAAGAATATTTTCTTCAAATATATTTTAAATATTGTACTGTACTGTATTCTCATAAATGCTGTACTATCTCTCATAAGTGAATAAGCCGAACTCAAGGCTCTGAAAACTTGTGTATGTGCAGTGATGCCGAGATTTTGAAGGTATGTGATTTGTTGAATTCCTGCTCGAAGAAATTTTTGTTGGTTTGATTCTTCGGGGCGCACAATTACTTCCGAAAACATTCCGCCTGAAACCCCTTGAATTGACGTTGTGGAGCGTTCTTTCTGTTGTGATTGCGGAAGTTTCGCGCGAGTGAAAGTATTTTCGTATATCTGGATTCCTTGGTTGAGTACAGTTTTCTGGGGCTGAAATAATTATTGATGCATGAAAAAACTTTCCCTTGATTTTTTTAGGCTTTCGTTATTCGTTTAACCGAAACGTGGGATTAAAAGTGGTGTGTGCGGATATCAATAATTTTTTGGAATGCTTACCGCGGGATCAGCAAGTTCTGGTCCTTCTCTGCGTAATCATCAACAGCAACGTATGTGGCCAGCTAACGGCGAGCGTCCCAGTGACGAAGACGATGTCGCGCGGAGCAGTGACGAAGAGGATGAAGATGAGGATGTGGAGGAAGAGGCTGATGATCGTGGAAACAAACGGGTCCAGCTGAGCACTTTACAAGGTTGATTAATTATAAACTGTCGAGAATTTTCCGTTATGTAGGAATGCGGGACCTGGCAATTCAGCGCGTATTTGACCTGTTGTTTGGCATGGTCAAGACAAAGATTTATTCAAGATTTAAGTTGTTCTGCATTATTTTTTGTCATTGAAGGGCTGGCTGAACTAGCCTTCATGTGCATATTTCTAACGTTGTAAAGAAGCATTAGGAGCCATTCTGTCCCCAATGTCTTCGTCAAACATTCATGTTGGTTACACCATTACATTCAATAGCCGTTCAATTTGAACTTATTTCATAAGATAATTAACTAATCTTACGTTTGAAGGTTTCACGACGTCTTGAAAATACAAAAAAAGCCAATCTCGTGCATATGTTGTGGAATTCTTCAAAATATCTCTTCGTTCCATTTTTAGATGCCAGAATACGAGTGGGACGTGATTATCAGGCGACAATTCCGCCCTTCGTTAAACCTGAAGGTAAGAAGATACAGTAGTTAGGATGTTGCATTTATTTACATGCACCCAGAACCTTTTTCTGTGAGCAGAAAGGTCAACCGATGCCTATGCCGAACGAGCATTGATTGTTTGGAGTCCTTATGAAGTTACGGATGTTGAAAAGCGTGAGTGATTGTTCAATCTCGGACATGACGGAATATGTCTTCAAATTTGTCGAATTAATTTCAGTTGAGGAGTATATCAAGAATGCGGAGAAAATTGGATTTCACATTGAGCAGGCTTTGGGGCTGCTTGCGTTTCATAAACACTCTATGAAAGAAGCCTTGGAGGATCTTCCGAATTACGAGCCCTTTCCCGATGACTGGTCACCTCAGGATAAACTTTTGTTCGAGAATGCATTCGAAATACACGGGAAGAATTTTAAGAGACTCCAACTTATGGTACGAATGTAATCCCTGCGATGGCAGTCCATTGCATGAAAGTTATAACGTGTTCGACGGATTCTTGATGACAGCTCCCTGAAAAATCGATTGCAAGTTTAGTCAAGTACTATTATTCGTGGAAGAAGACACGCCTGAAGTCGAGCTACATCGACAAATGCATGGAGAAATCCACGTTGCCTCGTCTTGTCGGAGATGGAAGTACCGCCGGAGACTTGACTGAACTCCTTGCACACATCACGGATCATTGGTCAGAAGAAGTGAGCTGAACTTTTTTGTTTCATTCTTTCCATATCTTTTCACGTCTCCTACAGTGATTGGCATTACAGGTATAGGTAGAATCACCTTTCAAAATTTGAAATTCGAATTCGCTTCTCGCTGTTTTATTTGCGGAAGTACTGTACTTTTACGCATACCTTTCGTAGCTACTAACTTGGGGTGTCCTCGTTTCCCGAACACTATTCTACTTTTTAACAATGTGCGTCAAGGAGTGTTGCTAAAAAATCTTCAGTGATGTACAGTACAGTGTATTACCTAGTTTTAACAACTCTTAATTTTTTATTTTTTGAACACAGAATAAACCAGTCTTGACCAGCGTAAGTACCGATGTAATCACGGGGTGTGTGCTTAATTCTAGGGTTTATATTTAATTATAAAATGTGACTACTTTACTGGACAGAAATGTAATATGCCGTTTTCCTTCTTCAAGTCCCAGTTACGAGCCCTCGGTGAAAAAGCCTCGGAAGGAAACTTCAATTTTTCTGATATTTCTCAAAAGAGAAAATTGGATGTAACCCAGTAGTCAGAACAAATTCTAGAATATTGTTTCCACCGAGGACGAGTGGGACTAAAAAGCAGAGATATGCCACTAACAGAAGCAATATTTTCCTTCTTGGCAATTCTGGGAAAGATTTTTCAGTTAAATACTTGGAATGACCTTATCGGCTGGTTTCTTCGAATTCATTCGAACAACCGTGATTCCTGGACGATCTGTCTACAAACACTTCCAACCTTCGCAAGAAAGCCCCTCCTCTCCTGTTCTTTTTTTATGTGCATGCTGTTCTTAATGAAAAAAAGTAAATTTTGCATCTGATCAATACGGATTTGTTGCAATTCAACGTGATCACCCGAAATGTTTGCCAGGTAATGATACTGCACTCGAAATTGGAAATTGATTTGCAGTACAGTGCTGTATTGTGCAGTACTGTATTGTACACTATTAGTTCACTCTGTGCCGTACTGTGTTCAAATTTCTGCAATTTTTCGTTTGCAGCGTTCGACAATTTGTTCGAACTGCTCAATACCCATGCAGATCCCGCTTCCGACTGCATTTGGAAGCCAGTGCTCAACTTGCTACAAACATTGGGCGTAGGTTTTCATTTCTCCTTGTGATACAAATGTGATGTCTGATCCTTCGCGATCCTCCGAATATTTTCCCAGTGTGACGGGGAATCACAGGCCTTTGGTCACATCTGTGCGACGAGCATTTGCTGGACTAAATAACGTTGTCAATGGCGGTAGTGGAGATGTCACGCCCGCAAAAGTTCATGACGACTCCACGTCTTCCGCAGAAGTGTCACCCGATTCGAAGATTAAAGGTCGCGTGCGACCTCCGAAGGGAATTTCTGTTGATCACGATGATCTGCTTATGATCGGCAGCCAAAGTGTTGAGGAAAACTTGAACATGCTCAAGAAATTAGATGACAAAGTTCAAAGCCTGCGACAATTGGTAAGAAATCGGTCGAATCGTTTTGAGCTTTCGGGTTTGTTCATAGAGCAGTCGCGTGATTTCCCATATAAATGAAAAAGAATAATTTGTAAAATTTAAGTGTGATCGCCTTATGATTGCTTTTCAATCAGGTTGAAATGGAGAGATTTCAGTGCGTTGAAGATTTACACCATCATTGTGAGGAAATGACGGTTATATGCTGAAATAAAATTATGCAATAATATTTAAATCACTGTTTCCAACCTTTTTGGGCCTGCGGACCGGCAAATTTCGATAAAAAATTTTCTGACCGGGAAATTCCCCAAATATTTTCTGCGGACCGGCAAAAAGAAAAAGTTTTGCAGCCTCAAAAAAGTGTTGCTTGAAAGACTTATGGCAGGTACCATATTTAAAAAGTTTATGCATTTTGCCAAAATTAAGAACTCCTGAAGCAGCTATAGTCAAATGTGTTCAAAAAATCAGAAAGGTGTGCTTGAAGGTTTTTCAGAATGAAAAACTTCAAAAATTTTTTTTCAATATTTTAAAACTTTTTATAAAGTATTGTATTAGAAGAAAAGCCAGCTTTTATTTTTTCATCAAATAATTTATACTCCCATTGTCTTCCCGGAAATTCAGATAAAGGATTGTATAACGATTGTTCTAATGTATACTGTACAGTACTGCAAAGCGCGAAAGTACCCATATCATGCCTGCGAGTGAAGAAAAAATATTTCATAGCAAATGAACGGAAGGTTTTTCTTGTAGATTATATCGCGGAAAGCTTAGTTATCCGAAAAAAATTCACACCAAATGGAAAAAAAAAAAGTTAAAAAAACCATCCCTTGCAATACTGTGTCTTGCAATCCCTCGATCATCGTTTTAAGAATCTCCTAAGATCCGAGGATTTTTGAAGGGGAAACCATCACCTGGAAGTCCCTGCATGAAAGTTTTACGTAAATCCTCCTTCGACCACTACTGTAAAAAAATGTCTTGCTTGCGTTTTAGGTTCAGAAGCAAAAACAGTGGATCGCCATGAACGAGCGAGAATTATTCATGGATGAGGAAACATTGTTGGAATTGGAAGCGATTGATTTGGGAGATGCTGGTGATAAGGCTGTTGAAACTGGGGAAGAAGATGAATTTGTGACGGACGAAAACAATTCCAATGCTGATAGTGAAGCTGCCGCTGCCTCGAATGGCAGTAGTGATAATGGCAACAGAAGTGGCCGATCCAAAGCGCGTTGGACGAAGGATGAAATATTGATCGTCGTCGAAGGTTTGTTCCTGATAAGAGTATATTTCGCCCTCGTAAAGCCACTTGAGCGTCGTGTCGAAGTTCCTGCATATGAGTGTCAAGAGGATCCTCTGATATAAAGCTTTAGTGCGCTGATGGAGGAAATCTGTGCCGCCACTTATCTGAATTTTGATACGTTTTCTCGTATTCGTTGGAAATATTTATTGCGTTCAGGACCCAAAAAGTGAAAAAAATCCCACAAATTCTGATTTTTTGCGTCTTCCTTCAACGTGAAATCGACGCTTCTGACCTTGAATGTCACCTATGAATCACCGATGATGTAGGTCGAGGGCATCTGTGGGAAGTTTTGGGTCAATATAACGGAACAATTAGTTGTATTGAGACTTTGAAGGAAATAATGAAACTTCACAAATTTCCGAGGCACGCAAGGATGGAAATGGTATTTGTTGATACTTTGGTGGCCGATGTTTTCCACAGTAATTCATTGTAGCAAAAATGGGTGGCTGGAAAAACTTGGAAGACCAGAAATGACTCAAACAATTCTTCAAATTGATCTAATCGTCTGAAGACGTTGAATTTCTTCAATTTTGCTCAAATACCGCACTTTGCGAAGATGTGGAAGATCAGACGAAAGCGGACTACAGTATTCCTAACGCACAGAAGAAAAGTTTTGTCTCTGTCTCTTTGTGGATAATAGAAGAAACTGTGATGATTTGTTCTTCCAGGATTTCGTAGATTCGGTGTCAACTCCGAACACGTTGCCAAGCTGTTGGAGAATAGAACCGAAAAAGATCTGCTCAAGTTTTTGAGCTCTGCGAGCGCGAATGGCTATTCAACTATTTTCTTGGAAGCCTTAAAGGACTACGAAGCTGTGCATGGCCGAATTCCAGATTCAGACCTCGTTCGCAAGGTGATTTCCGGCAAAGTTTCTCTTCCGTCTTCGGGACCTGGATCTGTGTCTGCAACTGCTGGCAGTCAGCAGATTTCCGTGACTCCTCGTGGAACAGGAAGCAAAGGATCTCCGAAAAATGCCAATACCGGCGCAAAATGATACGATTCGTGTGTTTATTTTTACGCGTGTATTCGTATTCTTGCATGCATGAATGATTGAATTTTATCACCCGGTAGAATTTTACATTTGATTTCGTATTCGCTTTGTTGTCCCGAAAGTCATACTTCGGTCGACAACGAGCGCCAGTTTTTTAAGAATCTGTGAAAAACATAACAATTCACTGTTCTTTAAGTTTGGATGTATGTACAGTACTGCACATCATTTTTGTGTTCCGTATGCTTGTACAAGTTTCGGATGCTTTGGGGATTACTATTTTTGAGCATTTGTCTAAAGTTCTGAAATCGTTTTGGCAAGGTGGAACATTCTCCGCGAGGCTTTAAAATCTTCTTAATCGAAAATGATTTTTTACGATGTTGTTGGTAGAAATTTCGATGCTCGGAGATGTGTTGAACTAAGAACCTGCGCTTGAGAAAACTGCATATCCTTCGCTTCCGTCTACTGTTAACTAGCAGTTTTGCAAATTGACTTCAAATTTGAGCGTATGCACAAAACCACTTTCGACGACTACCGAATATTTGGCGCGGAAAAAGCGTTCGTTCGCAGAATTTCGATTCCACCATACAATTTTTTTTAGCGTACTGCCGAAAGCTGAATGCATCATAAATTTAAATTCAGTCAAGTCTTGAATGCAAAGACTTGACTGTACCGGGTGAACATGTTAATGCAATTTGATCGAAATTAATTTTGTTCTCCCTGTTCGTTCGGCTGATGAATTGAATTCGGCAGTGTTATATTCCTGCGTTTTGTACCAACGCCATGAGGTTTACTTTCAAGTGAGGAGTCAAAGCAGCAAAATTGAACCTCAGAATGTGGTTATTGAGGTACAGATGAAAGAATTCTCTGCATACGGTCGGGATTCAAGTAATTTACTGAAGTCTGTTTCTCTTGGATTTTTTTTTTTTTTTGCAAGAAGAGCGAGTGTGCGGATTGTATGACGGAAGATGCGAAGAACAGTCAAGATTCAAGTTGATGAAAAAAAAAGTTCGAAGTGAATTTGTTAATTCCGGAAGCTTCGATATTTCTTAGCGTATCCGTAGCTGACTCCTCTTAACCAATGTACCTCAATGTGTTTCACTTTCTTGATCAGCGGAGAGCTGATTGTTTTGTGAATAGCTCTTGTTGCTTCTGATTTTGATCGATTTCCTGTCAATTCATGAGAAGAAATTTGGAAGGTACAATTTGAAAGGATTTTCTTTGATATTAATCTTTGTATTTGTTTCATGCATTGAATTTCAAGAGAATCGTTCTTGTTGATTCTTTTCTGATGGACAGAAAAGATGCTTTCGTTACTCGCGCGTCTCAGTGTTCCCGTTCGTGATTTTGGAATTCGTATTCCTTTGAATAGAACTATGGCTATGACCTTGGAAGCGGTTGGGAAATGCGGAGTTGATCACGAACATGATCCTGAGTCGAATTCATCGAAGATCATGACAATTTTCGATTCGGAAAGTGTGCAGAACGCGTTGATTAGAGCGGAACGAGCCTTGAGACGAGGTGAAGTTATTGCTGTACCGACGGACACAATATATGGGATCGCTGCCTTGGTGCAGTCACCGAAAGCTATCCGATCAATTTATCAAATTAAAGGAAGAGACGCGTTGAAACCTTTGGCAATTTGTGTCGGTGATGCGAAGGACGTTGGAGAATATTGCGATGTGACTGTTGACCAGAGCATCTTGGCGGATCTTTTCCCTGGACCCGTCACACTTTGCTTCCCCCGTTCCAAGGTGAGTAAACTTGAAGAAAGCAACTCTTCGAATACGCGGTGTCGGAAAAGTAAGGTGTACTGGGCGAAATTCTGGTCACGTTTGTCAGTCCGTTCCAATCGCGAATTCTTTTAGTTGAAGCAGATGTTACCAGCGGTAAGATTGGCATTTATAGCCCAGTGTCTTGCGAACTTCGGCCATCCACCTTGAACTTGACGAAAAATTGTCGATCTATAAGTTCCGGAAACGGCAGACCGTAAAACTTCTATACTACTCCTCATAATGTGAAGATAAATTTAATGATGATCAAGAGACAGTATGTATTCAAGTTAACCAAAACCATGTAAAAAATATATGTTCCTAGAAGTGATTGAAAGGAAATGGAAATTGATGAATTTTTCGAATGAAAAAAAAACATTCAATCGCAAAAAATTTTGGAGTATCTCTCCGTATCTTGTTTTATTTTTGCGGAAAATTGTAATAATTTGCGGCATTTAGCACGGGACGAGGGATTTATTCTGCAATTTTTTCAATTGCGATTAATCTGAATCCAATTTGTACAGGTAGTGAATCCCGACCTGAATCCTGGGATCCGCTCCTTGGGGGTCCGTATACCAGACAGCGACTTCATCCGAAAGTTGGCACAGGTTGTTGGTGCGCCGCTTGCGCTCACTAGTGCCAACTTATCCGGTCAACCATCTGCTCTCGACATTCACGAGTTCTCGTCGATTTGGCCTTCGTTGGGTCTCGTCGTTGATGCGGGTCCTCTGGAATCATCGAGATTAGGATCCACGGTTGTCGATCTAAGTCAAAGTGATGCGAATGGTCGTTGTTCACGATACAAAATTATTCGCGAAGGCAGCGCGTTGAGAAAAACTCAAGATGTTCTTGCTGCCCACGGTCTCTTGTGTGATGCAAGTTGAATGTGAAATTCCGCCCTGAAAAGTGTGGGATCTCGCTGTGATCTCCCAGATTACCAGTTTTTGTTCTCGTTTTTTTTTTCTATTGCGAAAGGAGAATATTCAAATACTTTTAGAGGAAAACTGAAAATTTTCATGCAAGTTGCCGAAATTCAGTGCCTTTGCTGGAATACGAAATGTCATTTTTTCTGCTTGCCGTTGTAATAGTACCGTAAGCTTCTGGTTTCGTCTATAGTAGTGCGATTCACTTTCTGCGCCTTCATTCGAGTAGGAACACGGTAATGATTGTCTAATTCGAATTAACTGGTTGAAGGAAACATTCTGGTAGTTGACTGACGAGATACTCACCTGTTGGGTGCTTACGGGCTTATTTATTGAATTTTCAGGTATTGAAGACTTTGTTTTACAGCTGTGAAACTGGTGTTCAGCGTGCGGATTGTATTGCGATACGAGGGTAATTTACTTCTGATTCACCTTGAAAATATGTTTCTCAATCACGTATGTATATTAACTTTTTTTCCAGATGCCCGAGATTCCACCAGCGGCTTTGAAAGTAAGTAGAAAAGTTGGCTTTCATGATTCCAAAAGTCATCATTTTGCTCTGACAGAAGCGACGATGCAAGCTGTGCAACAAGAGAGGCCACAATCGACGTCGTTGTCCGATGAATGTAAGTGGTGAATTCATGAGTTTACGCTACAAAACATGATCCTTTTTTTGACAATGTTGTCAGTTGACGTCCAAGATCAAAGCGGGTGTGAACATTCCGCCTGAAACAGCTGTCATTGTTACCACTCGTCGTCCTTCCCGAAGTTTGTCGAAAGAGTAGGAAACCTTTTTTGTATTCTGTCAGAAAATGTTCGGTCGTCGCTTGTCATCCGCATTCTGCGATGCAACGAAAGAATTTTTTATTTCAGGAAAGACACTTTTCTGAAAACGGTTGAGGTGGAGGAAGAAAAAACTGAGTTGGAGATAGTCGAAGAAGAGGAAGTTAACGCCGATGGAGGGTACTTGAACGGGTAAGAAATGCATGCTCACGTATAAGGGATGATTCATGAGTCTAGCATGGTCCATGTTGTCATCTACTGAAGTTTTGCGCAATTTTTTCGGTATTTTTATCCGATATACCATTCACGTTGGACCACATTTTCGCCAATCATAATGAACTGAAATACAGTTTAAAAAGTACAGTAATGTACTGTATGTGAGAAGCGGTGCGTGAAGTTCGTCTCCGAATATCCAATACTGAAGGTTATATTCATGACCAGGTGTGATATATTTGATTCATCGTGTAAGAATTTCTCCATCAAAATTCGGAAAAATCATCTTGGAATAGCATAGCTTTTTCACTAGAGGAAGAGGAATTAGATAATTTTGAAATTTGTATTAATTTCAATTAACGTCGTTCAGGACTACGGAAAAGTTGGGCGATTCGGAGGACGTCTATTTGGTGTGCGATGAAGCCGCAACTGAATCGGATCACTCGGATGATGTACCTAGGGACGATCCTGTTGTAACGGGGAAGTAAGTTATCCTGCCAGATGTTTGGTTCGGTAAAAACCCTCACACACCCAATAACGCTATAATCACGTTAACCTTGAATATTGTTGTGCGCAGAAGGAAGCATTTGTGTTGAGAAAAAAAAAAAACTTGCATAGCTTATTGAACCTTTTTGAAGTTATGAGAAGTCCGGTTTTTTCGTTGTCTGTAAGTGTAAGAAAGTTCAATCTTTTTTTTATGGTGAAACACGTAAGCATTTTTAATCTTCATTATGATTCAACAGTGCGATTTCTGCATTCGAGTGGGAAAACAATTGCGTGTTTTTCTAAAAGTTCCACACGTGAGACATAAATGAAGTTGTATGGCTTGACCTGGTACTGGTACACGTAATGTGAATGATTATAATTGAAATGTACTGCAGTCTTAAAGGACTTCTTGGTAATTAGTGTTATAGTGTGCTCCGCTTGAAGTGATGCAGAAGTGCTTCAGATGATTTTTCCTTCACCAAAATAGGAGTGAAGTGGAAGCAGTTCATGAAGCAGAAGGAGCTAAAGCTGTGGACGTTACAAATTCCCGTTCGCTTTTCAGTCGATGCTCTCTTATGTAGTCTATGATCTGTAATTGTTATTTAGCGTTTTCTTCGCGGCGTTTTCTGTTTCGCATTTTTCTGTCAAGATCTCGGTTGTTCCGATGTTTGCAGAGTGTATTGCATACATTTGTTCTGGTATCGAACAAATTGTTTTGGTTTAGCATACGTTTTTGTTCCGTTTGTCGAACAAATTTATTTGTTACACTGATTCAGGTGAATCTAGAATGCTCTCTTTTTGTTGCTTCATCTTACAAAGTGTCATGTTTTTCAATGAAAACTGCCCGAATAGGAACGTTGCTGGGTCAGATATGTAAGGAAGTGGAACTCATTTGAGTACAAATTTCGGTTAACGGCTCATATTTGGACCTATGATCTTATGATTGATCATGGACACTGCCTGTTTTGATTGCGGGAAGGGACTGGTACTTTTTTCAAACTTTCGTACGTGTTGTCTCATGGAGTTGACGTTTGCCGTGGTTGAAATATTAGAGGATTGGAGTCTGGCAAAACCCGGTTAATGTATTCTGTTCTGTTTTCCTGGTCACCCATTTGCAAGGGTTGGTTCATGAGTTTCGGCAGTTTTGTTGTTGCTGATTTTATGATCGGATAGGGTCCTAATTTTCATGCGCTCATACTCGACGATTTCTTGACTCGACGACATCGAGCGAAAATATTCGCTTTTTCTGGTTGTGATCGCGAGAGGAGAGGAACAGAAGTTAAAGTCTTCACCATGACTGAAGAAATAATGAGACGAACCCAACACACGCGCCAGGCGCTTCAAACGCTAAAAATACCTCATTGCGAATAATGAAAAAAACGCATTAGACACATTTGTGACAATTTTCATGAATTTGATGACAATTTTTTCTGATATTTTGTCAATGAAGAAAAGTTGAAATTTCAACTGTCGAGTAAGATATTCCTTCGCTGAAGGAAATCTTCGGCAGGTGAATCGAGACTTGCTTGAATTATTTCAATTTACGGTTAGTTGGTGGATTCTTCTCGTGGACTTGAAACCCGAAGAACTTCAAGGCCCTGAACACCTTTGAACCATCCCTTGAACTGCTCAAGAGTTTCAAATGATTGCTGAAGATCGTTTTATTGCTACCCTCAGACCTTGCCAGGAAATTGTGCATTCATCGTTTACTGCGCAACTTCTCGCCGGATGAATGATTCGCGAAGTTTTCTCGCAGGATTTGAGAGCGAAAGTCCGGTCATCGCGTTGAACTTCTAACATGACCGCGGTAGAAACTGCGAGTGTTGCCGCGCGTGAGACTTGCGAAGGGAAACTCTCGAAACTGGATTCCCATGGGAATGCAAATGGAAATACCGGCATGGAAAGCGTTGATGTGGAGGACGAGACGCAGCAACAGTGTTCCGACGATAATTCTGAAATTCGAAACGCACCGAACTCGGAGAAGAAGCGGAAACGGAAAGCAGGAGTGATCTACATGTCGACTGTACCGCGAACTCTCACTGTTGCCCAGATTCGTTCCCTTATGTCACAATTCGGGAAAGTAGGGCGTATTTTCTTGCAACCCGAAGGTCCGTAAATCATTCATGCGGAAAACATCCGGTCGTCTTTTGTTAACTGCGGACATGCATTTCTGTATTTTTCAGATAATCGATTGAAGAAAGGAAACAAATCGAAACGGCGGAAATTTTCCGAAGGTTGGGTCGAAATGGAACGCAAAAAAGATGCGAAACGCATCGCGGAACAGCTGAATAACCAAAGAATTGGCTACAAGAAGCGCAGCCATTTATACGATTGTCTTTGGAATTTGAAATACCTTTCGGGGTTAGTATAGATTTCCTTCCTTGCTAAAATGAATTTAAAACGCACTTTTCTAGGTCAGAATAAATAAATACGCGTCCTTAATTCTTGAGCGAATTCTAGTTTTCGGGTTGTCCAAAATTTTCACCCGTTTCATTAATGAATACGGTATGTATCATCTTCAACGCTAGTAGATACTGTGCGTTTAATGCTCGAGCTTGTACAGAACTGTCAGTTACAATTGTAAATGTGAGATGGCATTTTGCAACTATTTTCTCTGCAGGGTTATACTTTTTTTCGGATAGAGATTTTATTCGACGTTTTTGTTCAAAAGGTTAATTTTATTCTAATAAAAATTTCAAGTGGTCAGCGTGCAGTTTATCCAAAAAATGCATTTACAAAGAAAATTGTATTATCAATTATTGGTTATACAGTACTGTAGTAGAATCCGTGAATCGAGTTTCCAACATTCTGTGAAACAAATGGACAGTGCCTCCTAGATTTGCCAGACGACAACTTTTTAGTGTGAAGGGCTGAAGAACTCTATGCGAATAATGCGATTTTTTCATTTGTAAATATTTTCTCGCAGGTTCAAATGGGCGCATTTGAATGAACGTCTGGAGTACGAGCGTCAAGTGAAAAAGCAGCGTATGATGAATGAAATCTCGCAAGCGAAACGCGAAACAGACGCTTACGCAAAAGCGGTGGCGAAGTCGAAATATTTATCAAAGAAGGGATTCATTCAGAACAGAGAAAGCGACGCTGATGATAGTCCGGTTGAATCTGACGTCGACATGCCGGGACCTGTACCCGCTGAAAGTCGTGACGCTTTTTTGAAGAATTTGTTTGCGCGGAAGTGAGAATACTTGCCTGCAAATTTCCGAAATAACCAGCTGCTGTGATTTTTCACTCGACAGTTTTTGTTGTTTAATTCTTTTGTTGCTAATTTCGCTTAATTATTTGTCACCAAAAATGCTAAGGTGCGTTTATTTAAAACCTCGATCAGTTCTCCTTTCCACCGCTGTTTCACCTCTTTGATGCCAGAGGGCGCTTAACCAATTATTTTCACAATAACATCAATACGGTTCATTTGAGAAAAGCGATTTATTCATCCAAGTTTTCGAACGGGAAATCCGAGATCAGAGAACGCATACGATTGCAGAGATCAGGCCTGCTGTGTTGTGATGGATTTTGGAATTGAACGAGTTGCTTCGCGGCATTTTGAGTCTCCCAAACCCAAGTGAAATCGGAGTCTCTCAACTGCGCAAGTTGCTTCTCAGTGGGATATCGTTCACCTTTCACGAAAAGTTCAAATGGACTCGGTCGCTCGTCTGAAGAATCCATATAGTGTCCGTCCGAATACTGACTAGTTCGGATGGAAATCGTGCGTGAACTCCTCGCGCATTGCAGAATCGCTTTCAAGGTGTAATCATCGATGGGATATTGCAAGCAGAGAACGCGAAGCTTGTCCATAGCTTCAATCACATCCCTTGGGATACTTCCAGTCTTTTCTCGGCCGAAAGACGACGTGACGATTCTCAAGTCTGTAAGGTTCTTCCTGAGTAGCTCTTTGATTTGGACCCATACCCTTGTGGCGCAGTTCAGAGCTAAGCAAGATAAATGTCCGGAGAGTTTCAGGGTTTTCAGAACGCTCATTTTACGCAAAATGGAAGCAAGAAGAAACGGAGCTCTAGTCACTTCGACTGTCACGGTAAACTGAATGCCGAAGCTTCTGAGGTTTTCACACTGCCACTGTTCCACCATCTCGGCAATGCCTTCATCCGCAAGGAGATTTATACCTTTCAACTGCGGGCCGAGATTCACCAGAAGGTTCCTGTATCGACTGGGATCCATTTTGGTGCCCGAAATATCCAGGTACGTCAAGGTGGACGCAGACGACCGGGATAAGAGTTCCTGAAAGAACAGGGGTTCCTTGGGACCCCAGATTTCCCGCTGGAATGATATCTGAAGGCCAGTGATGTTCGCCTGTGTGAGTCTCAGTACAACGTGAGGATCTATGACGGTTTTCAGGAAGCGTAAACTTGTTAATCGTGGCAACTTGGAGATCATTTGCTCCCAGTCCTCTGCAACCGTGCCTTCGCAAGACCACTTCTCGAAAAACAAGCTTACGGCGTTACAAGCGCGTTTACTGATGGTCTTGAGCAATCGTTTGGTGTTCACATCTCGTTGGGTCGTAAACTTGAGTGATTGGAAGTGTCTTCCGCCGAGTTGAAGGATTTCGTGCATTTCTTCTAGATGATTTCCGTCGAAGTGGAAATCCGTCGGCCACATGAATGGTTCCTGTGCGACTCGCTTCCATGTTTGTGAGATGGTGTTGTCAAGTCGGGCAAGTGACAATGCGTCTCCCCAGTGTAGGTGACGGCATATTTGGACGGTTACCTCGTCTGGGAAATTTGGCAAGTTGCTTGAAAGCATTATTGACCTCCAGTGTGACACTTCCACGTCTTCATTACCTCATCCGCTCCAGTGCAAATTCTGAAACTTGAGAAAAAAAATCGTAATTAATCTTGTGAGCACAACTGTCAGCAGAGCTTACGTGGAACCGAGTAGAATGCGGGAAGGTTATCTCTTAGTTACTGCGAATAATTATGTACAATAATTAGGGAGTTTTTTAATTATGAAAAGCTCGAAGTACAGCAATACTAAATTGTCAATGCGGGAGACGTAGATGCTGTTCCATGCACAAATTCTGCCAGTTCAAGACCGAACGAATCATGTTATATGATATTCCCATACTTCACCGTACAGTATTTTATAAGTAAATTTAACGGGAAGCTGCATGAACGTCGATTACGGCTTGTGGGACACACTTCCAACTTTCCTTTCTCATGTCTGCAGTAAGTCAAATTCCTGTGCTTTCGCATAATTTTCCTCTTGTGTAGCCTAATTAATTCACGAATGGTCGGATTTTGTGAGGTAACTGGAAGCAAAGCGAAAATCAGAGTTCTTTGATGATTTAATAATTTTAATGTGACCTTTGAAATTTGTGGAAAATATATGTATTATATTCAAAGAGGATTGCAGGGGTTATTTATTTCATTTATCATCGCGAGCCTTCGGCGTTCCAGTGTTAATTTCGTCTCCAACCCAACAAAGATAATGAATCTCTCCACCGTAACACCATAATAAGTCGAATATTTTTGAATCAAAACTCGATTACCTTCAAGAGATCGTGAAGTTTATTTAGTAATCTTGCGAACTTGTTCCTCGCGTTTCTGCTTCTTATCGAGCCATCAAATTGTATTCACTTCACGGGAAGATAACACTGAAAAAGGAATAGAATTTGTAGAAGACCGAATGAGATGCTATTTTAGTCGAAGTAGCACTGATAAAAATTGATTACTGGTATTTTCTAGGACTCCGTCTGTCGAGTTTTAAGCTTTCCAAAAAACCCACTAACTGTGTTTTCTTCTTGCAATGAGGTTCTTGACAATTGAATTTTAATTCCATTAGGCATTTTTATATCGAGACATCTCGCCCGGAACATAACTGATAAAAGCGATTGTAATTTTTGCATGCTTATTACGTGCGTTGAAAATCGCAAGAATTCCCGCGTATGTCGGTAAGGAAACTGGAAGTTCGAAGCAACGTCTGAAACACATGACCATGCAAACGCTGGCTCTATTTTAAGATCAGCATTCGTCTGCCAAGGAAGAAATGTGCGTTGGCGCCTGAAACTCTCTCCGCATTCGTGGCGGTCACATCTGAGGTTATAGAGGTTTGCCTATTAAATTCTCAAGGTTTGGTTGATTAAGTTAGCTTCATCGAGTGTGAGCTTCTTTTGAGATGAAGGAGCACTTCTTATGCGATTTACGATGCCGAATGATGTTGAAAACTCAAGTTCTCGTAGTCCCTGCCTCCGGCAAACATCAGGTCTTGTAATGCACATATATGAAGGTTGTCCCACTTCTGCTTGGCCTTGGGTATTTCTGGAGTGGGTACCACTGTAAAAAATTATATGATGTAGCCTATGCAATTGTAAGGTTCTGCGATTCTTTTCAGATTTTTATAAGAAATTTTAGATTTACTGCATGATGATAAGTGAAAACTTTCCAGTTCCAGTGAGAGCTGTCCATTCATGTCACAAGCTGTTGAAACTTTTTCAGGCAAGTAAAAAAAATTGGTTTCTGCCTGTGATTTTTTTTTTATTACCTGGTAGTTTTATGAAACTTCTATTTAAATTTTTAAACATTTTATTTTGTATTTTTACTGGAAGGAAGGAAAATGGTGTGAGGAGCAGAACCTGCGCAAATGGGAAGAAAATTGGGCAATGAACAGGGTATGAGGACAAGATCTACCAGGGCTTGGGCAGATGTCTCCTTACCCTGCTTCCTGACCTTGAGGCAGAAGATTAAAAAAATTGAAGTTTCATAAAATTTGAGGTGGTAAGAAAAATATCCCTGTCAGATACTAAACCTTGGATGATGTTTTTGAAGAGGAAATTGAAAAACAGATCGGAGATGAAAAACCCCTTCCAAGACCCCTGCTTTTGGAAAAATTGAATATGTACTTGGGTTTTCATTTGTTGTAAACAAAATAATCATTGAAAAAGTTGTAAAATTTCAGAAAATGTAAGAAAGTTCATGTAAATCTTTTTTCTGGCCTGAAAAGGTTTCAGCAGCTTGTGATGACATGAGTGGAGAACTCTCATTATAACTGGAAAGTTTTCACTTGTCATCATGCAGTTAATCTGAAATTTCTTATAAAAATCTGAAAAAAATCCCAGAACCTTGCAATTGCTTGGGCTACATGATATACTTTTTTTTACAGTGGTACCCGCTCTAGAAATACCCAAGGCCCAGCGGAAGTGGGACAACGCTCGTATATATGTGTATATTTTTAGCACCAAATATAGTACAGTAATCTGATTTTTAAACTTAATTCACTAGCATCCAATTTCTTTCATTCTTGTCTTTGTTCCAATTCTCTTGAGAATTACTCACTGTAAAGCACAGCTTCAGAACCTGTGAAGTCATAGAAGAGGGATTTTTACGGGATAGTTTATTTTTTATCGTTTTCTTGCCATAAACAGGCGAGAGTTGAATGAACCGGTTTAGTTTTAATCCTCATGAGAAGATAAATAAAAAGGAGGGATAGAGAAAAAATTGGAATGGTCAGCCAGGACAATTGATTTTCCGACAATAATAAAAAAATGCTCAAATCAGTCATAACTCCAGAACGTGACGCGGATTCGTCAACGCAGGAATTTAATTTGAATGTGATCTTGAAATCACATTCCTGATTCACATTCAGTGTCGATAAGTTTAACATCCTTGTAACCTTTAAAAACGGGAATAACTTCTAACGTACCAATTTAGTAAATCATGCCAAAGGTCAGAATTCATTGAACCCGAATCCCTGCATAAATTGGGATTAAAAATCCCGCACTTTTTTCTCTTTTTTATTTGTCACACCCCGTCACTCGATAAAACAACGATCGACGCTTAATCCATCCAGCTCGAGATGAACCCTGTGAAGTTCGTGTTCCTGTGTTCTTTCATGTTCGCCTTTGTTTCTTGGGTGTCCGGATATTGTGAGTACAATACACAGTATTAGCAGCGTATTTATTCAAGCGTCGAATATTCAATATTGGGACTAAAAGTTGGGTAAATATTGTACTCTGGGTACAATTTTGTCCTGTTAATTTTCCAAACTTTTGTGCGTATTTTAAACCTTGGTTCACATTTATTACTGTCAGTGAAGCATGGAAGGGAAGCACATTTGATGCAGTTGAAATAATTTATTTGAGTTTACTTTTATATACAGTAGAATTCTGTTACAATAAATCTTGTTATAACAAAATTTTCATTATGACACATTGTTTTACTGGTCCCAGCAGTTTCCCGTAGGCATGATGTTATTTAAAATCTCATTACAACAAACAAATTTTAGGCTTTAATCTCATTATAATGAATTTTTGTCCATCATTCTTTACTAATATAATAGGGTCTGTTTAATATGTATGACAAAAAAATCAAAGGTGCTTTATCAAAAAGGAAAAGTGTGTGCCAAGAAATCTTCCTGTTCAAGAAATACTAAACATGATGTATTTCTTTGAAATTCAGTAGCTCCATTCCAGATTATATGCCTTTCTTCCCAAAATGTACAGCATATATTTTAGAGAATGTTCCTCTACATGCTAGAACATGCATGAATGAAGCTGTTTATTCAGAAGGAGGTATTCCTCTTACATGTACTGTGCCTATGTTCATTTTATATTTTCAAACAAATGTCACTTTTTAGTAGAATGTCAGTGTAGAAGGAAGGTACTATTTATTTCAAGTTTTTTTTCATTTCATCTGGAATACTCGATATTTATGATATAATTATTGAATTATTTGTTTTGAAAGTATTTATTGCCCCTTTACTACAAATTTGCAATCTAAAATGTGCTAGAAATCACAAATCTCAATACTACAAGTTTTTTATTAAGTCCCTGGGAGTTTGTTGTAACAAGATTTTACTGTATTAGCTGCTGTTGTAATTCTTGGGTTTTGAAAGTTTCCTATTGAAAATCTGGATGCATGTCTTATGAAGGGATACATGTTACTCAATTTGCAGCTCAAAACTACAGATATGCATAATATGCACATGCTACTTTGAGTAAAAGAAAATATTTGATCTCTGACGAGCTTTCTGATGAAACACCTGCAAAATCACCAAGTTTATGCTAAGATGCAAGTTTTTTATATTCTAATTCATCCCTAATTTGTGAATCCTTCTTGTGGTTGACTCTGGTTTGTTCGGCGTCAAGTATTAACTTGATCTTTTTTTGTCTTTTGTCAGCTGCTGTCACCAGGTGCTATTCTTGTGGACAGCAAGGTGGTACTTCCTGCAGTGTGGATAATCGTGGAACTGAAACTGTTTGCTGGGTTCCTATGGCATCTTGCGCCACTGCGTTTGATTCCGAAAATATGGGTCTGTTTTCGCGTACAGTAGTTTTAGATGACTATTTTTGAAAAATATTTATAAATATATATAAGGAAAAATATATATATATATAAGTCTCACGTGCTCAAATTTAAAGGGCCATGAAAAATGCATCATCTTGTGAGACTTGAGCAAGATATAAATTGATAGGAATTATCCCTTCACTATGGGCTGTTGAGGCCACCAAGTTTAACACATGTAAGTATTTGTACACTGAATAAGGCTCCTATGTACCCCCTACTACCCATTTTTATTAAAATTGCAGTGCTAATTTTTGAGAATGTTTCCAAGCTTCCACAATCATTTATGAGGGCTATGCTTGGTGAAAAACCCATCAACATGATTTTTTTTTAATATAATGAACGATTTCCTCGCCTATATGTCAGTATAATTTGGGTGCAAATAAAGAGTTTTCATTTATTTGTATGTGTGAAATATAGAGAAGAAATTTGTCCATGTTATGTCTTTCTTTAAAAAATCGATTTATTGTTATTTTAAATTAAGGACTTTGTGTAATGCGTGTCTGTGGCCTTTTCCACCTTGAATTAATTTCCCTACTTGAAAACGCATCAATTAACATTAAGTTGCTAGGATTCCTGAGTGGTCTAAGGCGCTGCGTTCAGGTCACAGTGAGGTTCTGCAGGCATGGGTTCGAATCCCACTTCTGCAATCGTTTTTTTCCTTTTTTTGTTTTTTTTTTTTGTCCGCACTGCGGATGCTCTACTACTTGTGTTTTGTGATTGATTGGGGAATGATTTGCCAGAGACTGTGAATTCGAAGCAAAATTCATTTAATGTACTCATATTTTAGTAATTCTGAGGGAAAATTGAAAACAGCACAAAGAAAAGCAATCGATTTTGATCAACTTTAAGCAATTTTAATGGAAAGAAAAAGCTCATGAGCTTGTTCTAATGTTTCGGGTGAAACTATTTCGTACTGAATAGATTTTTTTTAAATAAATTTCTGCGCTGAAATTTCTCCTGTCTCTGCTATATTATCTGCCACAGTATTTCTGCATTTCGTCTGCTGTAGCTCACAACTATTTGTTTTATTTTTTTGTGATTGATTGGGGAATGGTCTGCCAGAGACTGTGAATTCGAAGCAAAATTCATTTAATGTACTCATAATTTAGTAATTCTGAGGGAAAATTGAAAACAGCACAAAGAAAAGCAATCGATTTTGATTAACTTAAGCAATTTTTATGGATAAGAAAAAGCTCATGAGCTTGATCTAATGTTCCGAGTGAAACATTTTGTATTGAATCGATTTATTTTTAAAATGAATTTCTGCGCTGAAATTTCACCTGTCTCTGTTATATTATCTGCCACAATATTTCTGCATTTCGTCTGCTGTAGCTCACAGCAGATTCTTTTTATTTTTTTTGTGATTGATTGGGGAATGGTTTGCCAGAGACTGTGAATTCGAAGCAAATTTCATTTAATGTACTCGTATTCTAGTAATTCTGAGGGAAAATTAAAAACAGCACAAAGGAAAGCAATCGATTTTGATTAACTTAAGCAATTTTTATGGATAAAAAAAGGTCATGAGCTTGTTCTAATGTTTCGGGTGAAACATTTTGTATTGAGTAGATTAAAAAAAAAATCAATTTCTGCGCTGAAATTTCACCTGTCTCTGCTATATTATCTGCCACAGTATTTCTGCATTTCGTCTGCTGTAGCTCACAACTATTCGTTTTATTTTTTTTGTGATTGATTGGGGAATGATTTGCCAGAGACTGTGAATTCGAAGGGATGTGCCAACACCACTGGACTTCGCGACTACTGCCTTCAGGGCATGTTTGGGTACACGTGCTATTGCAGCTCTTACCTGTGCAATGCGGAAGGAAGACCCGAAGGCTACGATAAACGCCATATCGAAGATGATGAGCTCCGTTCGTTGCATGGAAGGATCCTGAAGAACTCTGGGGCGAATGTCTTGATTCTTTCGTACATCCTCGCCATATTTTCAATTGTTAAGCTCGTGTCCATTTTAACGGGATTATTCTTCTTTTGATCGGGACTTTCAATCTTGTTACGAATGGGGTCATCATCCCACGTCTTGTATATGCGTGTGTTGCTGAGAGAACAATTCGAAAAATAATAAATTGCATTTGATCTGCTGACCAAACCATGCCGTGTGTGTTTTTCTGTTGGGCTCTTATTTCCGCTGTGTATTTTAGTATACTCAGCGTTGTTCTTCACAACTGTTTCATTTTGAAGACATTTTCAAAATGACTTAACAGTACAGTGATTCAAAATTACATTGACGGATCATATACTTGTTTGTAGAAATATCAGTAAAGGGGAATCAAGATCTTGCACTGTTGTATGAGTGAATTGGCTTCATACAAGATTCTGGTGGAAGTTTGATATCAGGCCAAGTATTTTTTCGAGAATACTTCAGATTTTCTAGCACGCGAAAATATTTTAAAAGCTCGATTGAAGTATTCCTCGATTTGTTCGAATGACCGACTCGGATGATAAATTTGAAAACTTCGGGCAACAAAAGAAGCGTCTATAAAATCGTAGAAAATGTTTAAACATATAATTACGGCGTGCATGTTGCTCATTCAATTACGTATGAAGAATTACGAGTTGCTTATGGGAAATGTAAAAGCTAGAAAAACGTGACTTATTATTTTTAAATAAGAGAAAATTCGAAAATGAAATTTTTTAAATGGAATACATTTAAAAATGGAATACATAACTGTGTCATGATCTGAGGTCTTATATGTCAGTGTTCCCCAACCTTTTTGGACTTGCGGACCAGCAAATTTTAATAAAATCCTTTGCGGACTGGCATATTTTCACAAAATTTTCGGTGCACCGGAAATGTTCTGTACAATTTTTGATGACCAGCAGAACATTTTAAAATACCTTCCACACAGTCCTCAGACTAACATATTTATGGCAAAAATTGAATGAAGAACCCATGAAGCATTTATGAAGTGGCAATGTCCTTAAAAAATAGGATGCTGGGCTTGAAAAAAGGTTTCTGAGCTGATGAAAATGGGTCTGAATTGCTATTAAAAGAAAAACAAACATTTTTTTCATCAGATGATTGTTTCCAAAATTTTGGATTGCAATAACAGACTTCATTACTACAGTGAGACCCCCACATGCAGACACCTTGGCATGAGGACAATTCAACATACGGACATTTATTTTTCAATAAAAGAATAATAAAAATGGCCTGACATATGGACACTGACTTGACATGAGGACATTGCATGATAAAATTGCCAATACATTTTAGGAAAATTGACTTTTATTAGGCTTAATTGTAAGAAACAGATATTTCCAACCCTAAGATCTATGCAAGAAAAATGCCTTGGTACTTTTCCCAGCACTTTCCCATCCATCCAGTTAATTAAAAAAGATCACCTATAGTACAGATGGACTTCCTTCTCTCTTTGTGACTTGGATGCTATTTTCACAGATGCCAACATTTCAATGAACTGTACAGCAGTATACTCTTCAATGCTCCAAATGTTCTTATTGGGTTGAAAATATATCCACTGAATCAAATTCAAGTGGCAAACAGTTTTTTTTTCACAGAATTCTGGAGAATATTTCTCTCATAATACACCAATTAAAAGTTATATAATGTAATTATATGGGAAAACAAGACTCAACTTAGGGACAATTCAACTTTGGGACACTTGTGAGAAGTTTTGACGTGATGTGATTCTGTGGGTTATACTTTGAAGTACAGTATAGTTCCTTCACCAACTAGCTTATGAAAAGACAGTGATTTTACAGTGAAAGTTAATTGGAAACAGAATTTTGCGATCATCAAATGAACTGTTCTTATTAAAATAAAGAGGGCAGCACATTTTTGACTGGCGTCCCAAAGGTGGTAAAACAGTTATGCAAATCTTTCTTTGCCCAGATAAGTTCCCCAACCCCGTTACCGTCTCCCATGAGCAATTGTGTCAGACATTGTTTATACTGTACTATCCAAGAAAGGATAGCATCTGCCCCAGAGTTGTATCATCACATCAAAACACGCAATTCTCTTGATACAGGACTAATTAGCCCCTCATCGTCTCGCTGGAATCTCGTGACCCCGTTCATATTTTGTTCTCACACTTGCAAACAAACGCACTATCCTCATCGCATTTCATTTGTTTCTATCTAGACTTATATACCAAGCACATCATCAAGAAAACGGAAACGAAGTAACGTACAGCATGATAATTGCGCTTTGAGTAAATATGCTTTGAAATACTGAATCGTATTGTGACTGTCCATGGTGGATTATTTATAGTTAAAATGTATAGTGACACCTATATATTCGTAACGATCACTTGGATTTTAGATGGAAGTTCAAGGGGCCAACAATTCGGATTCAACAGTGAAAATATTTTCAATAAAAATTTCTAGCGGTAAATAATTCACTGGTATAAATTATTAATTTTATTCGGCAACTTGAAGACTGATGCTGAATGAAAAAAGTGTTTTTGAAGATAAATTGCATACCAGCATAAAAAGCACAATTGTTCATTGAAATGCTTTTTCCGAGGAGTTTCTTCAATTATTAAAAGAAAATCACAAGAAGAGTCAGTGCGTGTACATGAATCGACGAGAAGAGTGTGAATTAAAATAAATAAATAAGCATTTCCAGAGATTATTTCCAATTTTTGGGACAATAAATATCAGAACAGAATACAGTGGCCTAACAGACCTCCTGTGTAAGGGATTTTCGCCAAACAGACCAGCTCTGCAAGCAGTTTTTCCTCCCACCCAACAGACAAAATCCGCCAAACAGACTTCTTTTGGTTTAAAATTAGTGTTGTAAATTGAAATTTTTAATTTTTTATGTAATTGAATTCATGTAAAGGACTTTTTGTCCAACAGACTCATCCCTTGCACAAATCAAGTCCATTAGACAGGGGTTGACTGTACTGTAATATGCCCTTGTAAAGGACTCAACTCCTTGGAGACATAGACTCCTAGATGAATATACCTTCTCTGTTATGTTTTTCATCCTTCAGCCATTTAGTATAATTCTTTGACCAGTTTATCAAGTTTCCTGTTGACGGGTATATTCAGGTGAAACTAGTTCATTTGAGTCTGGATTTAAATTTTTAAATTTTTTTTCAATAAAACATGTTTTGTTGTTATTGCTAACTTGAGCATCTGTCCACTTTTTCACCAAGGGTGACTGCTCAAGGAAATAATTCAGGATTTTTTTAATAAGAAATTATTTCACCATGTCTAGCAAGGAGGAAAGGTGCGTGAATTATACATGCTTTGTTTTTAAATTTTCGCCGTTTATGAAGAGAGTTTATGAATTTCAAAGCATGTATGCAGTACTTCTATATATAGAACATACCGTTCTGAATTGCAGTGAAAGGCATAGAGAAATGCGCAGGTCTTTATATATGCTTGTCAGTGATTTTCATCAGTTGTCTCTTGTCTGTAATGATACTTGAGAGATATCATGTTTTGCACAACAAAAACTAAGCCCGACTACAAAACTCATATACTGTATGTTGGAATGGATTACAGTATTTTCGATATTCAGGAACCCACTTGCGCTCATCACATATACAGTGAATACTTCCAAATATAAAAAAGCTTTGTATATTACTGTAATGAATCACAACAAATTGAATTGTTTTAAATTGAAATCACGTTCAAATTGACAACCTGCCTTGTTTCATGCATCAGTGGCTCAAAATTTAGACACACGTGAAATGTCCAATTAATTGGAGACTGGTTCAGTTGAATAAGTTATTCTGCTGCATGAGTCTGACAGGGATTTGCTGTCTCTGATATGATAAACAATGTACAGTGAGACCACCACATGCGGACATCTTGACATGCAGACAATTTGGCAAAGGGGCACTTATTTTCCCATAAAAAATTAATAAAAAGGCCTGATATGAGGACACTGACTCAACATAGGGACATTTTGTGATGAAATTTCAAATAAGTTTCTGCCCAAATTACAAGAAACAGATGTTTCGAACCCTAAAATTGAAGTACAAAAAGTTTTTGGCCATTTCTCTCACCAATTTACCATCCATTCAGCTAATTTAAAAAATTACCTCCAGCATAGAGGGACTTCCTTTCTCTCGTTTTCACTTGAATGTTATTTTTACAGAGAATGCCAGCATTTTTTATGTACTGTACAGATGTACTGTATAAGTATTCAGTTCCTCAAATATTCATATGGTTTTGAAATAATTTGATTGAATCAGTTTCAATTGCGAGACAATTTTTATTTTCATGGAATTATGGTGAGTATTTTGTCTGTAAAACACCAATTAAAAATTATGTAATGTAAGTCCAAGGGAAAATGAGACTTGACTGAAGGACATTTTGACTTAGGGATGGACACTCTTGATGCACCAATTATGTCTGCATCTCCGGATCTCACTGTAAAAATGTTTAAAAATAATCTGGGCCCAATAATAACCAGATATTTCTCCTCTAGGGTTTAATAACAGTCGTCGTCGTCTCTCTTTCTTTCTCGTTTTTTCCCTCCTCTCCTCTCCCTGTCCTGTTTGATGAATTAAAAATGTCTGGCTTCCGCGTGCTTTGGTTCAAGGTGATCGAGATCCATTCAAAAAGACGCACCTGACGACCGTCTGATTCCACTGCTGGGGTAACGCCCCATACTGCGAAGATTGTGTCCAGTCGACCACTCTCGGGTTTTGTACTGGGGGATAGTTTATTTTCTCCGGTTCGATTTATTCTAAAGTCAAGTACAGAATTTTTTCTTTTTTTCTTTTTTTCAAATTTCCGACATCGTTATATATAGATTATGGTTGAACTGCTTTGTCGCCACGCCTTTGTCCAGCGAGGTTGTGATTTGACCGCCTGTGCATATATATAACCTCTGATCTTATTCATTCCCTCCTAGAGATTATTGTTTGAGGTCGTCATTCGAATCGAAGTGTCGAAGAAAATTCTTTAAAGACTATGAAGACTTTTGGAAAGCCGAGATGGCATTAAAATATTCATTGTGAAGAATTGCAGTCTAAAATATAAAACTGGAAATCAGGAAGTTTTATTAAATATGATAATTATGTTATTGTTCATAATGTACTTAAACCGAGTTATCCAACAATGCCGCAAATTTAATATGGAAAGCCTTCATTTTCTGAAGTTTGGAAA